GATCGACCGTTTAATGATTCCAAATTTAATGAATGTCCAATGAAAAATAGATTAGATGGAAAACAGGATGAAGTTGATTGTGCCAGTGTATCTACATTAGGTGATACAACAGCTGTGACACCTGCAGCCCCCATAGTACAAAATCCAGGTAATAAAAATCATTATAAATTCATTCCCTACAATGACATTTTAGATTTGTGTCGCATGATCAAATGAGAATCAATAAAAGCCTGTCATCAAACAAAAATTTTGGCAACACCCAATAAGCCAATGGTAAGTGCAATTAATGACGAATCATATATTTTTCACATTTTTCACAATGACCTTGTGGACCTAGTTAAATTTAAAAATTAAATGAGTGTTTCTCGTTTGTTTTCCTTTGTTCATAAGTTTCCAGATTGAAAACAAAAGAAAAACCGATGCATTCTGTCACGTTCTCTCGTGACTGCTTAAAAGTTATGCTAACGACTCATGTGGGGAATTGACTGCGCGATTAATTGCACTCCTCATTGGGAAAAGGAGCGATACAATTAATAATGTATTGATTCCTTGTGTTAATGCCACACACGCACACAAGCGAGAGAAACTGATACTTTTGAAAAATGTTCATTTCTCTTGAGAAATTCTGGGATATTTCCATCGTATCAGTAGCTCGCTAGATAATTCCTCCGAATTTAAGATGATAAAGATAATATTTACATTATGAAGCGGAAAAGTAACTGTAATGCATGATAAATCTCCTTTATGAATTTGTTTGCCATTTGTGGGAATAATTGCCCTCACGTACGGATATTTTACCTCTACACCTTTACGAATTGTATCAGCATCTATCGAATTTAGTTTATACGTTACTTGCCGCCAGAAATAATGAGTTGATTAATTGTGTTATTTTTTTGTTATAATTTGGTGATTCGATTGAGGTAGATAAATCGAAGCCGATTTTTTCATATTGGAGAGAAAAAATTGGAGAGAGTTTAGTTGCTTGTTCCTATCGACTTGTACGAATTAGGAGTTGAGTGGAAAATTGTAACGAGTCAAAGTATTTGTTAATTGCTCATTCAAATCTGAATGAGCAATTAATCAAAAAACGTGGACCTAATACTTTCGTGTCTGTCCATTTATCTTGAGAACGATCGGTCTCAGCTGAAAAAGTCAGAAGATCTTTTATGCGAATAGTAGAATCCCCCACAAAAATTTCCTTTGATATTTTCTTCTAGCACCCCTTCCCTCCGAGATACTCAGAAGTTACCAAAATAAATAAACTCGTTACAGATTTCCACTCAGGAAAAAGTCCAACAATTTATCCATTACCCATGTGGGTGCGTGTGTGCGCTCTTCTGATCTTTCATTAAATTGTTTATTAAGTTGTTTAAGAATATCAGACAAAATCACTTGCTACATTCTTTCGCTTCTTAACCCCCGCAATGAGACTGACTGAAGAAAAATAAAATAAACAATCTCTGTCGTGGGGCAGTGGGAGCCGGAGAGCTTTCTCTTCATTAGTTTATGACCTCAACTTTTGATGTGATTTTTTATTTTTTCTTTTTATTATCCGCTGAAGCCTGCATAAATAGCTACGCGGGTGCGTTGCGCGGCCGCTCGCCAGACTCCATGTCAGGTACTGGTATGTCCACTATTCAAATTCACCCCCGTATTCGCTCTCATCTCTGAAAATTAATTAAACAAATAATTCGACCCATTCGTTGATGATGTTCTGCACTCTTTCCGCCTAAGTTCACGTGTTTTTTCATTTTCCTGGCAAACCCACGATGCACTGAGCGGAAAATTTAATAAAATTTCCAATCCGTCAAACAATTTGTCAGAAAATTTAAACAACCGGTAATTTTGGGTGAAAGGACAGAAAATCATTGATCCAATGGACAAATTACCGAGTTCTCCATTTTTGTTTTTTAACTTGACACATGGGAAAAATCAATAGAAAATACTAGATTTATTTTTCAATTCAGTGGAGATTGAAATTATATTGACTGCAGGAAGATGTCGATAGATTTCGATTTTTACCTGTGAGTTCTCTCATGGAAAAATATATTGGCTTTTTCCTCTGAATTTTAACAGAAAGCTCAATAGATTTTTCTGCTGATTTGAAAAAACTTGTGATCAGATTTCATTCCATTCTCGTCGAGTTCCTGTGAATTGACGGATTTGGATTTTGATTTATTTATTAACATTTAACCGCACACACACGCGCGATTTTTAGGGCAGATTGTTTGGTATCAGTTGAGGATCTGCAGGAAGATTAGTTGGTCGGCTTCCAGGGGAGGAGCACAATGATTTTTTATTTTTTTAATTGTTGTCATTATATTTTAATTTCAGTAGCGGGTGGTGAGATATTCTGACGTGCGAGTTTACGTATAAAGTTAAATGCGACTGGGTTTGGGATTTTCATGCACGACCGACACTCGCATGCACTCTTTCCAGTTGTTTATTAATTTTCTCGTTATTTGTTTTGTATTTTTTGTTATTAACATCATTAATTTTTCTTTGAGTTATCGATGAAGTGACTGGGGAATTTTTGAAAATTCGTTCAATCTTGAGAGGAAAAACTATCCAAACGAAAATATATTAATAGATAAATCCTCCATTTTTTCATAACATTTATTCAATAATAATCATAATAATTGAATAATTTTTCAAATTATTTTAACACTTGGAAATTCGATATTTGATATTTGATGGTATCCCCAGAATCTTTATACTAGGACTCTGATTTTTTGACTCCATAAAAAATAACAATTACTTTATTTTCATAATTTTCCACTGACACCTCGATATACGCTAATCGAGATTATTTGGCGGTGATGAGGGAACTCTCTGCGAAATAAAAATAAAACAAAAAACCTTCGTGTGGCATGTATGTACGTAGCATGACGCTAGTAATTGTACTTGTCTTGTAGATTCATCGTAACTATTGCCTCCACTAGTTGAAAAATAATCCAATCCCCGTTGCACTTTGATTGCACAATTATCTCTCAATTCCATCAATTTTAAGAGATAATTCTGTAATCACCGGTGGTTACGCACAACCCCTTCTTAATTATTTAATTCCCCTTCCCCCTTTTACCCTCCACCCTAAATAATGATTCTGAACATTCGAAAACGATCACTCAGGAAAATAAAAGTCACAAATCTGTACAGAAATTATAAACCAGAATGATTGTATTTCACCGAGGATCGTTTATCGTTACATATCTCGTGAATGAACGAAGATTGAGAAATTTTCATATTTTTATTTTCTGTAGAGTGATATCCGTTCTACAAAAAACATTAATATACAAATTTTTCTATCTCTCTTTATTTAGAAAATATTCGTCGGTAATTGGGATGAATTAAAATGCAATTATGCTAGTTTTGAAATTGACAGGAGAAATAAAAATCGTCTCATGCTCACACCAGTTTCTCCTCGTTAGAAATTTTGTGCCTAAAAATCACTGATTGTCCCATAATTAATCATGATAATGACTTCTAGAGTCGGAAAAATACCACGAGATGATAGCAGCTACGGAGAGTCCACCGAAGGGAGGCGGGACCTTCCGACTGGACGATGACACCGAATTTCCACCAGTGACACAAAGATTAACAGATTGAACAAATCAACTTCGATAATCTCGAAACATATCAGGCAATGCGAGAATTGGAAAATGAGTGGAATATAGATGATATGCTGAAAAAAGTCAAGAGATACAGAGAAAAAAATCAGTAGCAAAAAAAGTAAAAGATAATTGAACCTGACCAATAATTAACATTATTTCCAAATCTAAGGAGGATACCATTGTTTTCATAGGAATCTTTTTTGCAGCTCTCATTAAGTTCTACAAAAGAGGTCCCAATGAGAATTCCACTATCTCTCTTCAAACTCGAGTTATTCCTCGAACTATTAAGTATCACCTAAATCCACTCGTTATCCTTTACATTTTTTGGCTGCTGAATTGAAGTGGTCGATTGAAATGAACGCCCATTCGAAATCACTGGGGGTAATTGTCCCTTCCGGTTCTATCGACAACGTTTTTTCGGTAATTAACGTTGCGCCTAATGAGGGACTGATTGAAAAATGCAAAAAAAAATGAATAAAAACCAGAGAAACGACAAAAAAAATTGATAAGAGAATTAACTCAGACGTTTGTTGTGTATTTAATTAAAAATATTTAGATGATTTATCATTGGTAATCCGTGGGGTGACGATCGGTGCCAATTTGTTCGCAGATCCACGTGGGTTCGATGATAATTAGCAACAACGACGCGCTTCTGATATCATTTGTGGAATAAAGTGGATGAAGTGGTCCTTCCGTTGTAGATGAATTTTCTCTTTTCGCGGGGCAATTGGAGCTCCAGGCAGGATTTAATGTTCAGTAATGAATTTGAGATGAAAGTTGGACACTTTGCGGTGACAAATGATAATGAAAATGAAGTGATTGGGGGTAATGGAGTCAATAGATCCACAAAAAATGTGTCCTTTTGGCCGTTTTATACTAACGCGTCTTTGTTTAGTGAATGAAAAAAATAAAACGACATAGTTTTACTTTTATAAAAATGAGAATATTAAAAGAGAAAGAAAAGGACAAAAAAAAATTATGTGGATAAGTTATTAATTGATAATTAATGCGTAAATAACCCAATGTAAATATTATTACGAATGCTTATGCATTGTCGTTAATTGCAGATATTATAGGCAAATCCAATGAATATACGTGAATATACGTGATCATGTCTTTGATTTTTTATTTGGATGTCATTTTTCTGAACCTGCCAATTTTTCTGGTTTTTGAACGAATGAAGAATGAATTATTGCATTTGAGAAAAGGTGGATGAATTATTAGTCACTTTTCCTTGTTTATTTCATTTTATTTATTTATCTGTTATTATTTTATCCTTAACGCAGTATGAATTACAGTGAAGAGTGAATCGTCATGAGTGGAATTTTGCACATCTATCGGATTTGTGTCTCGATAACGAGATATTCCTGATATCACAAGGATTTTCATAGATGAAGAGATTAGCAGGGGAAAAATTTGCTCTTGATTAATATCCAACAGAAGATGAAAACTCTTTCGTGACGTTTCAACGCCTTCACTCCTGAATTATCGACAATTCTTCTCTTCAAACCTACTTGTGACGATTTTTTTTTTTCGTGAAAAAAAGGTACAGCCTTACGACATAACAAAAGAGCCTATCCTGGAATAATCTATTTATTCAATGAATTCGTTTGCTTCGAGGTAAATGGAATGCGAGATGAGGTCTTGAGGGTCATATAAAAATTTTCAACTACTTGTAATCTCTCGAGATAAACGACAAATTCACTCAATCATTAATTCCGTATAAAAACACGAACTAATATTTTCTTCATTTATTTAAAATGATTTTATTCAATTCTTACTTATTCATTTCATTCATAATTTGTGTAATGAGTCTGGGCCCAGATTTGTAATTTTCGAGAGGAAAAATCTATTCCTCGACTTTTCTTCACGTTTTTTGTATTCGTGGATAATAGTAGCCCTGAAAATTCGTGACAAGTGTCAACTCATGGGTGAAAAACAAGAAGATGTAAACAAACAAAGTGGACAGGCTCTTTTGTGATGCGCTCCACTGCAAAGAATATTACAGTTACGAAGACTTAACTATAGAGATCGTCGTCACCATCGTCCTGGAAGGTTTGATCGCCCTGCGTTGAATCTTGTGGGCCACCTCCAGCATTTTGAGGGAATCTGAAGTTGGTGCCAAAACCTCGTGACTGCTGTAGCGTCTGTGCAAACATTTCATACTTCCTGATGTCATTATCAGACACAGAGCGACGAGCAAACCTCATGGCCTCCTCGAAATGAGCCCTGGTAATCTCCGGTACGGGATCATCATCATCAGTATCCATGGACACCGATGGATTATTCATTCGTTCCTTTTCCCTACGAATCTCAGTCTCGATGCACTGTCTAATGGCTAATTTGCAGGCACGTTGACATATCTCAGTTAAATCAGCACCAGAGAAACCATGTGTTACTTTTGCAATGTACGTTAGATCAACGTCCTTGGCAACTGGTGATTTACGTAAATTAGCCTTGAAGATTGCTTCACGGGACTTCTCGTCGGGCAGTGGAATATAGATGAGCTGATCGAGACGCCCTGGTCGGAGTATTGCTGGATCAATGATGTCAGGACGATTCGTTGCACCAATGATGAATACATTTTTCTTAGCCCCCATTCCGTCCATTTCCGTGAGAATTTGATTAATCACACGATCTGCCGAACCACCACCATCACCCACTGATCCACCACGAGATTTTGCGATCGAGTCCAATTCGTCGAAGAAAAGAACGCAGGGAGCTGCTGATCTTGCCTGCAATTATTATAAATTATTATTTCATGATAATTATTTTTATTTATTATTACTGGATGTTCAGCCAAATGATGATTAATTTCTTCAAATGTCTCACCTTATCAAAAACATCCCTGACATTAGCCTCAGACTCTCCAAACCACATGGTAAGCAACTCAGGCCCCTTAACAGATATAAAATTGGCCTGACATTCATTAGCAATGGCCTTAGCCAAGAGAGTCTTTCCACACCCAGGTGGTCCATAAAAGAGCACCCCCCTCGAAGGTTGCATGCCAAACTTCAAGAATTTGTCGGGATGCTCGACAGGATACTGCACAAGCTCCTGGAGTTCCTTCTTGACATTGTGCAGCCCTCCAACATCATCCCAGGATACAGTTGGCACCTCGACGATAGTTTCACGAAGAGCACTAGGACTGCTCTTGGCCATGGCATATTTGAAATTATCCATGGTGACAGCCAATGAGGTCAACACCTCAGCATCGATTTGATCGTCCTCGAGATCGATGAGATCCATTTTCTCCCTGATCTGCTGGAGTGCAGCCTCAGAGCAGAGTGATGCCAGATCAGCTCCAACATGTCCATGACTCTCAGCTGCAATTTGCTCGAGCTCGACGTCCTCAGCGAGTTTCATATTCTTCGTGTGAATGCGAAGAATCTCGAGACGTCCAGTTGCATCGGGAATGCCAATATCAATTTCCCTATCGAATCTTCCAAACCTGCGAAGTGCTCCATCGATGCTGTTGGGTCTGTTGGTAGCTGCCATAACAATTACGTGAGAGCTCTGCTTCATACCGTCCATGAGGGTCAATAATTGAGAGACAATGCGTCTCTCCACTTCACCGTGAGTCTTCTCACGCTTTGGGGCGATGGCGTCTAGCTCGTCGATGAATATAATAGCTGGTGAATTTTTCTCAGCCTCCTCGAAGGCCTTTCGCAGATTAGATTCAGACTCACCAGCCAATTTTGACATTATCTCAGGGCCATTTATCAAGAAGAAGAAGGCACCCGTTTCATTGGCTACAGCACGTGCGATGAGGGTTTTTCCTGTACCTGGGGGTCCATAGAGTAGAATTCCACGTGGAGGCTTGACTCCAATGGCCTTGAAGAGTGATGGATGACGCAGTGGTAATTCCACCATCTCCTTGATCTGTGCCAGCTGTTTGCGAACACCTCCGATGTCGTCGTATCCCACTGCATTGAGTGCCTCTTGCTCGTCCTCACGTTTTATGGGCTCTCCATCGCAGTGGATGACAGAGTCTGGGGCAACTATGCAGTAGGGGCTAGGATCTGTCTGCAGAACTTTGAACTCAACAGCTCGCATTCCACCGCGAACGATAAAGGTGTCGTCCATGTGGATGGGACGATATGCCTCCAGGAAATAGGGCTTGAGGTAAACCTCGAAGAGATTACCAGTGAGACCTTCTACTGTGTCGTCTATTGGTAGGACGTGAATTTTTTTTCCATATTTTACGTCTGGACATGCCTGCACGGACACTACGTCGCTCAAACGGACGCGCAAGTTGTTTCGAACAACTCGATTCATTCGGATCTTCTCGTTTGGACATGTCTCGTCTGATAGGACAATGCAGACTGTTTCTTTGCGTCTCTTGCCTTTCAGCAGGACTGTGTCACCACGGAACAGCTGTAGCTCGTCCATCTTTGCCTGGGACAGGGCAACCACTGAATTGTCATCGTTCACTGCTTCCTCTACCAGGAGTCTGTTAGGCTTGTCCTTTTTCCGAAGGATCGCCGTCGCCAAATCACCGCTGGAATTTTCAGGAAAGCAAATTTCGTCATTTTCACTCGATTGGGAACTTCAGTTCGTGTGGGGTTGGAGCATAGAACAATTTTTTACAATATCTCGAAATCTGGGGGGAAATCGTGAAATTTTTGTGAGGACCTTTTTTGTGGGAGGCATTTTTCTCTGCAAATGATGTTTTATGAAAAATTTTCGTAGGTCGAGTAGAAACAGAGGTGTTGTAAAAAATCCGATAAATCTATTAGAGATAGAAATATTCGTTGCAAACTAGGCTTCGAAATCCGTTGACTTTTCGCTTGTGAGTTGTAATTATTTATTTGATTTTTTTCAGTTTCATCAAGATTCAGTTTAACCCAAATTCACAATTCGCAGGAATAATCGCGATTTATTTCCCTTGAATTTCGTCATGCGTGACGACTGGAAACCCGCGAAAATCATAGGCAATTTAACCCCCAATGAGCCCCAATTTTTCGAAAAGAAAACCGTCAAAACGACGACAGACTCCGCAGATTGATCTCCTAATTTTTTTCATTTTATTTATATCACGTCAGCTGTGAAAATTCCTTTGTCATGGTTTACTAACGCTGAGGAGGCAGAAACGGCCATGATCGGTACTCAAAGCAAACGAATGTGTAAATGACTAGGAAATTAATAAGACGATCGATCCCCCCGGCAACAAGCGAAAAATGTCCACTCAAAAAATCATTCCCCTTTACTTTCCGATGGTTTTCTCATTTTTTTTCATCGATGCTGGATGATTTTTTTGGGATTCGTGTGAAAAAAACTGAAGTCGACATGATGACAAGGTAGAATTGAGGGGGTGAGCGCCTATGCAGCGTTGAAAAAAACTACGTGCACGAATCACATTTGCCGGGGTCTTGAAATGAATACAATTATCGTAATATTAATTATTGGAGGACTTGTGGCGGTTACTCACCCCTTCTGATCACCCATGATTGCTTTAGATGGTTTTCAAATGGGGTAATGTTGATTATTTCAGTGTAGATTCTGGTTTACTGGAGCTCTCCTGTGGTTCTGTTCTGTTGAAGGAAGGCTGGCTTCTAAACAGTCATATGGCAGGGTTGCCATGTCATCTGAGCAATTCTCAATGTACGACAATTTTTTATGGGGCGCGGGGTAAATCCCCGTTTTGCAAATTTCAAAATCAAACGGCTAGGTTTTAGCTCGAGAAAATTCCCTCTAAAACAAATCCAAAGGCCACGAAATGTCTCACCGTTTTTCCCATCTTCCAATTTTGTGAATTTTTTTTACGAATTTCTGAGAAGTAATTGACTTTTTTTGGGGAAATTAATGGAGTTTTGAATTTGGCGCACTTTGATATTCGCTGCATGCGCACCCCTGTGATCCTCCGTTCAGTTCATCTGTCTACTTCTTTGGAAAAATGTTTCCTGGAGTCTGTTTTTGAGTTTACGCCACTTTCTAGTGACTCGTCGATGATTGTCGATGATTCAGTTCACCAAGTTGATTGTCAAACTCATCTTCAATGGCCGGGATTAAAGGTTATTCGGTATAATTACCTCACACCGAGAAAAAAATAGATTAAAAATCAGTCACCCCAACGACATTGTGCAATTCTCCATTACGATTATCGTGGGCTGTATGGAGAGATAATTAAATAGGGAAAACAATCAGAGATATTTGACAACATAACCTGATAAAATATATTCATTATTCAATATTCAGTCACATCTCATGATTCTATTAATTTAATTTTCAATTACTGCTCTCAATATTCACTTGTTTTTATTTACATGCAGCATTTCGTCGCTTTGTTTTTTCATCGAGAGCGGATGATGAATTTTAGAATTATTAAATGTACTGTATCCTTAATTGGGCATTTATTATTCCGTGGATTTTTTGGGCCATTCAATGAGCGAAGGGTTACGTAATTACTGATTATCACCTTTGTGATGAATTCCATTCATTAACAATTTTTTTTTAAACATTTCTTAATTGTTGACGATTCAACTAATAAAATGTGTTCTCTTATTTCATGATGTGTTTCGATGATTCGACTGGACTACAGCGTAAGTGAATTAATTTTCAATATTGACGCTTCGATGAAATCATTTCTTATTAGAGGAACAAAGTAATCGATTTTTTTGAATTCCATCAAATATGCTGTAGGGACGATTTCTCCATTCTTCAATTTTCCCATATTTTTCGATTGTTATTTAATTGAGGTTTTTGAAATTATTATTATAGATTGGTTACACTGGCATTTGCTGGCTCCATAGGTATGACATTTGTCATCCTGGGATGCGCTCTTCCTACTTATGCGTAAGTAGTATATCAAATTCAATAAAATTCCACACGGGCGATGTAAAAAAAAATTTTGATCGATGCAATTTAATGAAAGAAGTGGTAAACCACGATAAGTGCAATGGGATTTATTTCGATGCTCCAATCGACTGCTGAATCGAAATAATTTCTTATTCGGGGAATTTTACAATTTAATGAATTTCACTGTTTACGTAATTGCTTGCAGATCATGGTGGCCACTATTTGTAATTCTTTTCTACGTACTTGCACCGATTCCAACTCTGATTGCACGAAGATACACCGAGGATTCGGGTAGTAACAGCAATCCATGTCTCGAGTTAGCGATATTTATTACAATGGGAATTGTCGTGTCGTCTTTTGCTCTTCCCATCGTTTTGGCACGAGCTCCAGCTGATGAGGGAACCGTGAGCTCTCGATTTATTATTTCTACTTGAAATTAATTCGTATATCTTTTAATGCAATGTATCAATTTTAAGGTTTTTTTAATTGATCGAATTTCAGATCAAACCAGGTGCCTGTTATTTGACTTTGGCTGGAAATGTAGTGGTATATTCGACGCTCGTCGGCTTCTTCATGACATTCGACCAGGACGACTCTGACTACAGCATGTGGTGAAGGACTCATAACATTTACTCCTTCGCGTTTAAAAAAATTCATAGAAAAACCAAAAATATTCTCTGAAAAATTCCATTGATTGTGAATTTTTCTATTGGAACTCCAAAGAAATTCCTTTGAGGTTTCATCACAATTATATTTGAAATTCCCAGAATATTTCAGATGAAGTTTAAGGTATTCCTATGAAATTTTTCACACGTGTTTTCCTTAATTTTATACGAATCGATAAAGAAAACATTGCGAGGAGCACTGACTGATGGCAACGCTTTAATTTTTAATTACTAAAAATACAAGTGAATAAATATAAATACCAGTGGGGAGATTCATTGAGAAGAAGATTTACCCCGTCATTACTTTATTGTACCCTTAATGGTAACTAGCAGTTGCGTAGGTTGTACAGACTATTGTCATTTAACTTTAACTTCGTTAATTTAGAGGATTACAGATCCCCTGGTAATGTACTAATCATGTTTACATCTGAATTATGCATTTGTTTTCCTTCTCTCAATTTCAATCAACTGTACGGATTTGTGCAACTGAATTCGGAGATCGGAATTATGCTGTTGAACTGTTTTTACAATTATGGCAATTAACAAGGCAGAGCAATGCGAAATTGTATTCATGAAATCATGTCATTTTTCTCGATTTTCTGTGATGATAAGTTTTAATAAAAATTGAGAATCTATTGTATGTCTTCAGTATATATTTTCTTTTTATTTGGGGGGCGAATTTTTATCGAAGCAATCTTCTATCTAAATTAAAATAATCAATAGAAATTAATTTAGAAAATCATTAACTAGTTACAGTGATAATGATAATTAATCAAAAAACGCTTGCAAATTGTTTCAATTTTGGTCTCATTATTCAAGAAAATTCATGACGAATAAAAAAATGGAAATAAATATTAATGCATAATAATAGTGATGTAAGACTTTATTTTTAAATAATTGAATGATCGATGGAACATTTTTATCGACGAGGGAGTTACCATCGCCTGTTGTATCGACTCGAGTTCCAATCATTTCTTAAGGTCGATGAAAAAGGATCTATGAATCAATTTCAGTTTTGTTGTTCCACGTGAAGATGTACCTGTCAAATCAGCGTGACACAGGGGGAATTGGCATTGATTAATATATCTTATCTGATAACGAGATAGGTATCGATGCTTATCGAATTTGCGAGTACTTGGGGCTCGTCAGGAACAGGTCATTTCGCACTTTGAAAGGAATGGGCAGTCTTGAAGACGTGGGCATCCGATCAGAGGGTAAACATTTTTTTAACTTCAATTTCAAAATCTAGAGGTCCAAGAATTAAAAAATTCAACAAAAAATTTCGGTGTCTCAATTTTTGCAATAATAAAATGTGAAGATTTGTCCTTCAATTTTTAATTAAAAAAAATATCAATTCATTGATGTTTTTAATTAACTGAAGTGACGAATTTTGAATATTTATTTATGATTTTTACAGCCTCTGAGGGCTCATCGATATGGAGTGAGAGTCGAGTGGATCAGAAATTCTCGACATCCAGAAGTGCCTCAACTCAGAGATACCACTCAAAACACACGAGACATCTCCCCTCAAGGACGATAGCTGTCCTGGGGAAGTCCAGCAACAGTCACCTGAGGGTGGTGAACCCACGTAATTTATCTCCATCTCCCGTTGGCAGTGCATCTCAGATTGAGGACAATGCTGAGACGATTGCCAACCACCTGGAGATGCAAGATGACCTCATGCAGAACGATCCCCTCTCGGAGATGAGGCGGTTGGAGGCCCTCAGGGATATGCCCCAGTGTCTCACTGTCAAGAGGTCCATCAGAGCCAAATTAACGAGATCAGTTGAACTCAAGGGGGACAGAAGAGTCCTCACCAGGTGGAAGAGACTCAAGTACGCGATGAGTATTTTTTTCATGAAGACATTTATTGCCATGAGAGAAATTACTTCTACTATGGAGCTTTGGTATGGCCCAATTAAATCAATTGAGGGTCATTTTGGTAGTGGAGTTGCTACGTATTTCAAGTTCCTCCGTTGGTTGCTCATTCTCAACGTCATTAATTGCATCTTAAGTTTTTTTTTCGTCGTTCTTCCCCAATCGTTGTTCGCCACACACGGAAATTCAACGTACAACTTCTGGGATATTTTCATAGGAAACGGATTTATGGATGAGACAATTTTTTATTACGGTTTTTACACAAATCTTACGATCGAAGCAATACCTGGACTCCAGTACAGCATACCATCTGCTTACATTTTAACGATGATCTTCTGTTATATCTTCACGTTCATCTTTCTCTCTGTTAAAGTTGCAAAATCCTACAGGAAATGTTTCATCGAAACCTCGGGTGGAATTCATAATTTGTACGCAACAAAAATATTCTGCGGATGGGATTACAGCATCGCCTCGGCGAAGGCAGCAAATCGCTGTCACCAGTCGATTTACAGGGAATTGAAGGAGCTCCTTGCAGAGGACATAAGTCAAGAGAGCTCCACTATTTTCAAAAGACTCATTGTATTATCTGTTCAAGTCTTCATGACCGCTCTTGTCCTGGGGGCCCTGGCAGGGACCAGCTGGCTTCTCCAATATCTCCTCCTACATCACAAATCTAATACCACTGATTCTCCATCTCTTCTTCTGGTGCCTCTCGTGATCACTGGAATAATGAATATCTTTCCGGTTATCATTTCGATGCTGGTGAAATTCGAGCGTTACAGCTCAAAACGAAAATGTCTTTTCGTGAATATGATAAGAACGTATGCGATGACAGTAGTGATAATAGGAACACTGCTGGCGTATTGGCTGACACGAAGCCTGAACTCGTGCTGGCAGACGGAATTGGCCCAGGAGATCTATCGTCTCATAATCCTCGACTTCCTGGTGTTCACTCTTGGGAGTTTTATCCTGGAGTCCCTGAGACACCATCTCTCGCCCTTCTACAGTGTCCTGTCAACTCCGAAATTCGATATTGCCCTCAACACACTCAATCTCATCTACAATCAGATCCTTTTCTGGGTTGCCTTCTATTTCAGTCCACCTCTGTCGCTGGTGATGGTTGTGAAGATGACGATGACGTTTTATATAAAGAAATTTGGTCTGATGAGGCACTGTGAGCCACCCTCCACCTCCTGGAGAGCTGCACAGACTCAGACTTTGTTCCTGGCGCTCGCATTCCTGGGGATGACTGGTGCTCTTACCGCTCTGGGATGGGTTATCACCAGTGTTAAGAGCAGCAGCTGTGGGCCGTTCAGGGATTACGATTACACCTGGCATGCTATTATCGAGGAGGTCCTCTCGCTGGGGAGGAGCAGTAAATTGTGGATCTTCGTCGAGAGCATTGGAAGACCTGGGGTGGGGGCTGCTTTACTAATCGCCATGATGTGAGTCATTACGACAAATTAACAGAACCCTTTCCTTATTATTTTCTTTTTCATTAATGTTATTAATGATTAATTAATTATTTATTTCAGCATGACGGTGTATTGTTTGCGGGCTAAGGCTCAAGCTAGTAGGGAATTAGTGCAAATACTCAGGGAAATGCTCGTGTTACAGTCAAGAGATAAAGACTTTTTGCTCAATGAATTTTCGAAGGTAGCAGATGAAGGTGAGAACCAAGGGAATCATATTCCCCGGGGAAGAGAGAGAGTTATCAATCGATTATTAATTTTTATTGATTTATTTTATAGAGTGGCTGAAGAGGAGAGCAGCCAATGAAAATCGTCGCAGTGTTATGAGCCCACGAAAATCCGTCTGTCATAATCAGAAGGATGCGTCATCGCCGAGCTGTTCCAAAAACTACGTGAGGTTTGATGACGAATATTGAAGACGTGATGATTATTTTTAATGGTCTATTTTTTAACTGTGCGCTCAATTTTTTTAATATGAGTCTTCCAATTATATATGCCAAAGGATTTGTATTCATATAAAAGCCAAACGGTTTGTCGTTGAGACGAAATAAAGTTGTTTTTATCGAAATGAAAATGTATTTATGTTTGTAATTTATTAAAATCCTGTCATCTTGTTTTTTACTGTTAATTTTTTACTGTTTCTCCTTCTAGGTATGCATTTTTTCAATTATAAAATTCTTGAGATGTTTTGACAAAAGAATTTCACAGCGAAAATATTCAAACACAATAAATTCCATTTTAATAAACCAAATTTCTTTATCAGAGTGATTTAACTGTCGACAAATGATTTTCCCAGTGCAGATGATTAAACGAAATTCACAATTCCGCGGTTTTGTACTCCTCCAACGGTTGCTATGGCCACGATTACGAGTGTGGCCCGGTGTAGTTATCCCCAGCTCTGAAAATCCTGAAACAAGTCCTTTCAATTAGAATATCTAAAAAAATCGAAATGACCTGAAGTTAATCACCGAGATGTCATCAAAAGGGAGAAAGTGCAAGCCGTCAGTTCCTTGGCTACCGGAAGTTGAGCCGACACCCCACATCCCCGAGGCTGTGAAATACCAGAGGTTCCAGCCTCTTCTCCAGGAGCGTTCCTGGACGAGGACAGTTCCCTTCAAGCATTTCTTCAAATATGTGAAGCCCTCGGAGAGCATAGGCAGTTTGTATACGCCCTCAGCCCTGAAATTTCGCCTGCAGACCCTGAAGAGACGACGTAGGGTCCAGCCCCAGACGAAGGACTTCCTGGGGAAGGACGGAGACCTCCAATATCCCCCGATCTCCCTGGTTCGCGCCCACGAGGCAGAAGTTCAGAAGAAAAATGAGGAAAAGAGGAAATTACTGGAGTCAGTTCCTGGGAATGTCATTAGTCTCGTGGATCTCGCTGATGGCACCTGGGTGAAGAGAAAAGCCGAGGCGAAGAGAAAGAAAATCCAGAGGATGAGAGAAGTTATGGAGGAAAAACGGAAGACCCAGGTTGAGCGCGAGGCCCTCGAGAGGATGGATTTGCAGAGGAGGGAGGCTGATCTTCCCAGGTGAACGATGCAGTAATTGTTTATATTAATTGTAATATTGATTGATTATTGAACGAATGATTTTTCTTGATCCCAGGTCCGTCGAGTCCCAGAGGGAACAACTCCTGGGATCCAGCGAAATCGAGAAGATTAGGGATGTTAGGCCGGAGGATGTCGAGAGAATTGAAACTCTGTGCTCTTCTGAAATTTTAGATCATCATCTGGAGCCTTTCGACAGGTCTCATATAGAAGGGGCCAAGGCCAGGATACAGGGGAAATTAAAACAAAGAGACGAGTAGGTTGTGAAATAAATTGTGATTGTGAGAAGTATTTTTTAATTATTTATTTAACAGATCCCGGATTTATCGAGTAATAGAATTTTTTCAATTAATTTTTACGCCTCCACAATTTTTTACAGCTTTGAAGAACTTTTAGAGGGACTCGAACCGGAGATTGTGCGAGATTATAAGAGAAGCGTTCGAATCGCGATCGTTGATTATATTTTAATGGATGAAGATGAACGGGAACGTCTGGGTATTCGGAGAATTCCTGGGGAATTTCCTGTACTTCATATTCGCGCCCCTGTCCCATGGCATCAGACTGCAGTGATCGCTACCCATTTTATCCAGCATAATTTATTCATTGGAAATGAAATTCTCAGAGAAATACGAGATCTCTGGTTTTCGAGGTAATTCGAAATCCACCAACAACAGATTTCATAGAATACTATTTCTTCTTTCTCTTTAAAATTTTTCCGTTAAATCCGTGTAGGTACAGCTCGATGCGAATAATTCGAGTATCAGATCTGGGGTGCCTTCCGATTCCTGCGGTATCCCTTGAGCCAGCAGTGGAATCTCTGTGCTCTGAGTCCCTGAAGAAGCTGAAGAACGAGTGGCTGTCAGACGTGTCGGAGCTCTTCCTCGAGAAGAAATCCGCGTGGTCGTTTCTCTTCACGTCGAACGCGAACTTCTCGACAGCCCTAATCGAAAAGTACTTCCGATCGGTAAATACTCTCCTCTCGTGTCAGCTGCGAACAATTCTCCTGGACACTCTATCCGAATTCAAGGACTTCCTCATTCAATACAACACCGGTAACTCCTTCGAGGGTGATTACGAGGACTTGACGTTCATCCGTCGTCCATTCATAACGATTTCCGTGGAACCGGTTCTGGGGACTCCAGAACTCCGACTGAACCCCAGCCTGAGTGCCCTGCACTCCACCCTCTCCAGGTGCTTCAGTAAAATCTTAAAAGTCGCATCGAGAGTTCCGAAGATTGAGTCCGTAATATTTCCGGAGTTCGAGGGAACCGGTTTTTTGTTTCCAGTGTCTGATAAGGAGTCCTCTGTCTCCAGAATCATCTCCGAGAGTCTCAGGGCAGTGGAGTTCAATCGGATGGGCCCGGAGGACTACCTGAAGCATTACAACGATCTCAGTTACATCCTCGACGGTCAGGCCTCGAAAAATCTCTCGAATTACTTCGATATCGATCCGATCCCTTTCCTCAGGGAATTCGGAACGAGAATCGACGGTTACGACGCCCTCAGCCGTGAGATATGCCTCTTTCGGAATAAAATACCGCTGAATCTAATCGAGATCGACTGCACCCTGGTGAACACATCGATGCGATCGATCCTCTATGACCTGAGAACATCGATTTGCGAATTTTTCCTTGAGGAATTACGATCGAATAATCGAGAGTTGTGTCACATCTTCGATGAGATTGCCGATAAAATATCTGGAATGCCGGAGACAACACAGGAGGTTGTCGATCTCTTCAACTTCCTGGTCGACAGTCGTGACAATACGATGTTCAGTTTGCGAAGTAAATTAACGAGATGCGCTGAATTGATATTATTTCTATTCGATTATCAGCCACCGAGTGACGAGGACATCGCCCTCAACACCAGGACATTAACGTGGCCGAAGGAGATGGAGACTGTCATGGAGTTAGCGACGACAAGATTGAACATGAGGAAGGAGTTTGTCGAGGGTGTTCTCAGAACGAGGAGAGACAATTTCGAGCAGAAGATCAATCGTATGCAACTGGCGATCGATCAGTTCAAGAAGAAGGATCCACCGGTTCTCACTGTCGAGGAGATGGAGCAGGCGACTGAGGAGATCGAGCAGCTATCGACGACCATGACGGAGATGAGGAAAGAAGCTGAGCAGATCAATGAGGAAGAGGGACTTCTCGATATGGAACTCTCCCCCTATCTTCCTCTTCCTGGAATGACCTCGACTGTCGAAACGTTCGATAAACTGTGGCACACCGTTCTCCATTTCCACAGGAATTATGAGAAGTGGTACTACGGCCCCTTTCCGGGCCTCGACGCAGATGAGGTCAGAGAGGAGACGGATAATGCCTGGAGAACGCTCTACAAATTGGGTAGAGTCTTGACAGATATTCCAGGTGCACGGAGAATCGCGGAGATGATTCGAGGAAAAGTTGAGAAATTCAAGCAATTCATTCCAGTTCTTCAGACGATATGCAATCCTGGACTCCAGTCTCGACACTGGGTCCAGATCAGTCAGGTCGTGGGTGAGACTATTGTGGCGAGTGATCAGAGCACTCTCGCCCAGATGATCGAGCACGGTCTGCCAATTCACATATCAAAACTCGAAGAGATATCCTCAGCTGCCACGAAGGAGCACACGTTGGAGAAAAATCTCGAGAAGATGAAGGCCGAGTGGGAGCAGATATTCTTCGACCTGACACCTTATCGAGAGACTGGTGTACAAATTTTATCCGCTGTTGATGATATACAGATGCTTCTGGATGATCACATCCTCAAGGCTCAGACCATGAGGGGATCACCATTCGTCAAGGCCTTCGAGCACGAGATGGAGTCCTGGGAGAATAAACTCATCAGCATGCAGGATATCATTGACCAGTGGTTGACGTGTCAAGCCACTTGGATGTATCTCGAGCCTATATTCAGTAGTGAGGACATCATGAGGCAGATGCCCACGGAAGCAAAGAACTTCAGGAGGGTCGACAAACTATGGCGGGGGATGATGACGGCCGTTGCACAAGATAAAAAAGTCACGACTGCTACGGGAATTCCAAATATGTTGGAGCAATTTCGAACTTGCAATTCCCTTTTGGATGATATTCAGAAGGGCCTCAATGATTATCTAGAGAAGAAACGCCTGTTCTTCCCCAGGTCAGGGTTTGGCAGTAATTTTTTTTGGATATTGTAGGAATAGTAACTTTTAATGTTTTATAATAAAATCTCTGCTACAGATTTTTCTTCTTATCGAATGACGAACTCCTGGAGATCCTCTCCGAGACGAAGGACCCGCAGAGAGTGCAGCCGCACTTGAAGAAGTGCTTCGAGGGCATCAGCAAGCTCAAATTCACGAAAGACGAGGAGATAATCGGAATGCTCTCTGATGAGGACGAGTACGTTCCCATGAGTGGAAAAATTTATCCAGCTGACGCCAAGGGAATGGTCGAGAAGTGGCTGTGCCAGGTGGAGGAGATGATGATCACGTCCCTGAGGGATATCGCCCAGGACAGTGTAATAGCTTATTTCACAGCTGTCAGGGAGGAGTGGATCCTCTCCTGGCCGGGGCAGATAGTCCTCTGTGGCAGTCAGATTCACTGGACGAGTGAAGTAATCGAGAGCTTCGAGGAAGGTTCAACGTCGGGATACCTCCAAAAGTGCAGTCAACAGATTGACAGAACAGTAGCTCTTGTACGGGGAAAGCTAGATCCTGGTACAAGGATCACCCTGAATGCTCTCATTGTCATTGATGTTCATGCCAGGGACGTCGTTAAGATGCTTGTTGAGAGACAAGTCCAGGATGCCATCGACTTTAACTGGATATGCCAACTCAGGTACTACTGGCTGGAAGGAGCCATCACCGTCTCGATGATAACGACAGACGTCACCTACGGTTTCGAGTACCTGGGGAATACTCCCCGTCTGGTAATCACTCCTCTGACAGACCGATGCTACAGAACTCTAATGGGCGCCCTGAAACTGAACCTCGGAGGTGCACCAGAGGGTCCAGCGGGCACAGGAAAAACCGAGACATCAAAAGATCTTGCGAAGGCAGTGGCCAAACAGTGTGTCGTCTTCAATTGCTCCGAAGGACTTGATTACAAAGCAATGGGGAAATTCTTCAAGGGTTTGGCTCAATCAGGTGCTTGGGCCTGCTTCGACGAGTTCAACAGAATTGAATTGGAAGTGTTATCGGTGATTGCCCAGCAGATTCACACGATCCAAATGGCGATAAGTATGAAAGTCGAGCGGTTTCTATTCGAAGGGACGGAATTGAAGCTCAATCCAACGTGCAACGTCTTCATCACGATGAATCCCGGTTACGCTGGACGTCAGGAACTCCCGGATAACCTGAAGGTTCTCTTCAGGACTGTCGCAATGATGGTACCAGATTACGGTATGATTGGAGAAATTACTTTGTACTCGTACGGCTTTATGGACGCAAGAAGTCTAGCTGAGAAGATCGTCCACACGTACAAGTTGTGCTCCGAGCAATTGAGTTCACAGAGTCATTACGATTACGGTATGAGAGCTGTGAAGACTGTCCTAACGGCAGCTGGAAATCTAAAGTTGAAGTATCCAAAGCAAAATGAAGGGATTCTGGTGCTTCGGGCAATTGTCGACGTTAATCTACCGAAATTCCTGGCTCAGGACGTTCCTTTGTTTAACGGAATCTACAGCGATTTGTTCCCGGGGGTGGATCTACCCAATCCTGACAGAGACGAACTGATTGATTTACTTAAAGTCAACCTTGAGAAGAGAAATCTTCAGGCAACGGAATGGTACGTCGACAAGGTAATTCAGATCTACGAGATGATTCTCGTGAGGCATGGGCTGATGGTTGTGGGAGATACTCTGGGTGGCAAGACCCAAGCGTATCAGGCACTGGCTGATGCTCTGGGTGAGCTATCTGTAAAACGAAGGGCTGTCATCAAGGAGTTTAAGACTGTTTATAGGATTATTAATCCTAAAGCCATTACCATGGCTCTGCTGTATGGGTCTTTCGATCCTATCTCTCACGAGTGGAGCGACGGGATCCTGGCTAATACCTTCAGAGAGTACGCCCAGTCCTTTAACTTCGATCGCAAGTGGATTGTTTTTGATGGGCCAGTCGATGCCGTTTGGATTGAGAACATGAATACAGTTTTGGATGATAACAAGAAGCTTTGCTTGATGTCCGGTGAAATAATCATCATGTCAAACAAGATGAATATGATGTTCGAGCCTGCTGATCTCGATCAAGCTTCACCTGCCACTGTCAGCAGATGTGGTATGATCTACATGGAACCATCGCAGCTCGGTTGGCAGCCCCTCTTCGAGAGTTACAAGAAGGATCTGCGACAGAGAGTTCTTGTTGAGCAATTTGACCTCGTCGTCGAGCTCGTTGACTGGCTGACTCCACCGATTTTCTGGTTCATCAGAGTCAACTGCAGGTGCTTCGTCGACACCTCCGATCTTCACATGTTCCTGTCCTTCACCCGAATGCTCAGCACGATGTTAGAAGGGGAGACGCAGGTTAGTACGGTTTGGCTCCAATGCGTGATGCTCTTCTCGATGATCTGGGGTTTCGCATCGACACTCGTCAGTGACAGCAGAAAAGAGTTCGATTTGTTCTTCAGGAAAATTTTGGATGGGAAGATTGAGGAGTATCCGAAGCCCAAAGCCTTCAAGCTCTCGAAGCAACAGCTGTTCCCTGATAGGGGGACGATTTACGAGTGGCTGTACGACAAACGAAACAACGGCAGCTGGATATCCTGGATGGACACTTCGGCCCCGGTTGCACTACCGCCGACAGCTAAAGTCAGTGATCTCATTATTCAGACGAATGAGGTCTCCATGCAGCGATTCTTCATAAAGCGACTCTTGGAGCGATCAATTCCTATTCTCTTTGTGGGACCCACAGGCACCGGAAAGTCCGCAATTGTTCTGGATTATCTTGTCAATCTGCCGAAGGAGAGGTACATCCAGAATGTCGTCAACTTTAGCGCCCGGACGAGTGCAGCGCAGACGCAGGAGATCGTCATGTCGAAGCTGGATCGACGCCGGAAGGGGGTATACGGTCCAACCATGGGAAAAAAGTGCATTCTCTTTGTTGATGATCTGTCGATGCCCCAGAAGGAGATCTACGGCGCTCAACCTCCGATCGAACTCCTACGACAGTGGATTGACCACGGGTACTGGTTTGATCCGAAGGACACGACTATTCTCTACCTCATGGACATTCTCATGATCGCAGCTATGGGACCACCTGGGGGTGGCTCTAATGTCGTCACTCCCCGACTCACTCGTCACACCCACATCATCGGAATCGATGCCTTCGAGGATGCGACAATGACGAAGATCTTCACGTCCATCCTCGACTGGCATTTCGCCAAGGGCTTCGACTCCAGTGTCTCCAGGCTCGGTAAGTTTAGTTATAAGTCACATGGGACTGTCACATGACTGTTATGCGACTCCAGGTAAGATGCTGGTGGCCGGGACGATGGAAATCTTCCAGGAGGCGATTCTGAACTTCCTTCCGATCCCCGCGAAGAGTCACTACACGTTCAACCTGAGAGACTTCAGTCGTGTGATAAGTGGAATCGTCCTGGTGCCGTCCTCGAGGATGCGAGACCCTGACAAGCTCATAAAACTGTGGATTCACGAGGTTTACCGAGTATTTCACGATCGCCTTGTGGATGATCAAGACAGGGAGACCCTCTTTAAGATGGTGAAACGAGTGACGTACGAACAATTACGTCAACCCCTGGACAAAGTGCTGTCGGATTACCTGAAGGAGGACGAGAAAATCGTCACGAGTGCTCACATTCGAGATCTCTTCTTCGGGATGTACATGGAGCCGGATGCCGACCCGAAGATCTACGATCAAGTGATCGACCTGAACGATCTCCAGGAGAAGATGGACTATTACCTGACGGAGTACAACATGATGTCGAAGACCCCGATGTCTTTAGTTCTCTTTCGATACGCGATCGAACACATATCGAGGATTTCTCGAGTCCTGATGCAGGACAACGGTAATGCGTTGCTTGTGGGCGTCGGTGGATCAGGAAGGTCGTCCTGCTCGAAACTCGCAACAGGAATCTGCGAGTACATGCTCCACCAGATGGAGATCACCAGGAGTTACGGGCCCTCGGAATGGAGGGACGACCTGAAGCATCTTCTGCTGAAGGTCGGCTGCGACGGAAAGCCAACAGTTTTCCTCTTCGCCGATAATCAAATCAAGGACGAGTCATTCGTCGAGGACATAAACATGATCCTAAACACGGGAGACGTGCCAAATCTCTATGGAACCGAGGAGAAGGCTGAGATCCTTGAGAGGATGACGAATCTCGCGAGAGAAGAGTCCGCGAAACGTGTAGAAACCACACCAATGGCTCTGTACAATCTCTTCATAGAGCGTGTGAAAAAATTTCTTCACATTGTGCTGACGATGTCACCGATCGGCGACGCATTTCGCAATCGGATACGCATGTTCCCGTCTTTGATCAACTGTTGCACCATCGACTGGTACATGCCCTGGCCCCCCGATGCCCTCGAAAAAGTCGCGACCATTTCCTTGAAGGACCTTGAAATCGATGACGAGGTCAAGCGCAAGTGCGTCGTCGTATGCAAGAATTTTCATGAGACTGTTCAAAAGTCGAGTGAGGACTATAAAAGAACCCAAGGTCGAACTAATTACGTTACACCCACCAGCTTTCTGGAGCTCATCAAGTCTTTGTATAAGCTGTACGGTCAGAAGGTCTGGTAGAATCAGTGTAACGAGTTATTTTTAATAATTTATCATTAATTGGAAATCGATTTGTCACAGGTGAATCAGATAACGTCCCAGCAGAATCGGTACGAAGTGGGTTTAGAGAAACTGGACTTTGCAGCTGGTCAGGTCGCAGTGATGCAGGAGGAGCTCCATGCACTCCAGCCAAAACTGGTGGCGCAGTCTCAATTGAGCGATAAACTGATGATCAGGATCGAACAAGACACGGTGAACGTAGAGGCGAAGAAGGAAGTCGTGGCAGCAGATGAAGCTTTAGCCAACGAAGCAGCAGCCGCTGCTCAAGCCATCAAGGATGACTGCGAGAGCGATCTCGCAGAGGCCACACCAGCTCTGGAGGCTGCCCTGTCGGCCCTCGACACTTTGAAACCGGCGGACGTCACTATAGTCAAGTCCATGAAGAGTCCACCGGCTGGTGTTCGGTTGGTCATGGAGGCGGTGTGCGTTCTCAAGGGTGTGAAGCCAGAACGTGTCCAGGATCCCTCCGGCGTGACGGTAGACGACTACTGGCCCGCGTCCATCAAAGTCCTCGGGGATATGAAGTTCTTGGAGAGTCTTAAGAGTTTCGATAAGGATAATATACCACCGGCGTACATGAAAAGGATTCGCGAGAAATTTATGAATGACAGGAGCTTTCAACCGGAAGTCATCAAGAAGGTCTCCACTGCCTGTGAGGGCCTCTGCAAATGGGTCAGAGCGATGGAAGTATACGACAGAGTTATCAAGGTCATTACCGTTATTATTCATCTCAATCGGGAGTTCTTGTAAAACATTCTTGTAATTCGAAGCCGAAAATGAAAAGAATATGCTCTAAAAAATTATTTTTACTAAATATAAAATTTTTGTTTATTATAATATGTTAATATATGTATATAACATAAAATGTAACATTTTTAATGAAGAAGAATATTTCTGAACATGAATTTGTATTTTGAACAGGTTGTAGCCCCGAAGAAGGCGATGTTGGCGGAGGCGGAGGCCGAGTTGGCGGCGCAAATGGAGACGTTGAACGCGAAGCGCAATCTCCTCCAGGAAGTAACAGACAAGCTCCAAACGCTGAACGACGAGTTCGCTGAGTGTATGAGAGAAAAAAAGAAGCTGGAGGATCAGATAGATCACTGCATGCAGAAGCTAGACAGAGCCGAAAAGCTTCTGGGAGGACTGGGTGGTGAGAAAACAAGATGGAGCGAGACGGCGTTGAGCTTGGGGGCAAGTCTGGGCAACGTCATAGGAGATGTTCTCCTGTCCTCGGGGATTGTAGCTTATCTGGGGGCATTCACAGTCGAGTATCGGAATAATCTGATAACTGAGTGGCACCAGACATGTCGGGGAATGGGGATTCCCTGTAGCCGTCACTTTAGCCTGCCCGATATTCTCGGTGAGGCCGTCGAGATCAGGGCATGGATGATTCACGGCCTCCCCGCTGACAGCTTCTCCGTGGAGAACGGCATAATCGTAAAGTATGCCGATAGGTGGCCACTGATGATTGATCCTCAGGGTCCGGCCAACAAGTGGATCAAGAATATGGAGAAGCAGAATAAACTGAATGTCATTAAACTCACTGATCCCAATTACGTCAGGATCATGGAGAACGCCATTCAACTTGGCCTCCCAGTACTCCTCGAGAATATTCTCCAGGAGCTTGATGCCATCCTCGAGCCGGTACTCCTGAAGAATATCTACAAACAACGTGGCGTTCTCTACATGAAATTCGGTGAGAATGTTCTCGAGTACAACGATAACTTTCGTTTCTACATCACAACAAGACTCCGCAATCCCCATTACCTCCCGGATATTGCGGTTAAGGTGACACTCCTGAATTTTATGATCACACCTCAGGGTCTTCAGGACCAACTCCTGGGGATTGTCGTGGCGAAAGATCTACCAGTGCTCGAGGAGAAGAAGAATCAGTTGATTGTCGAGGGTGCAAATAACAAGAGAATTCTGAAGGAGATCGAGGACAAGATCCTGGAGGTTCTGTCATCCTCAGAGGGGAATATCCTCGAGGACGAGACAGCTATCAAGATCCTGTCGTCTTCAAAACTCTTGTCAGAAGAGATCGAGGCTAAACAAAAAGTCGCAGCAAAGACTACCGTGGAAATAGACGATGCACGCGATGGTTACAAACCAGTCTCACGTCACGGTGCAGTTCTTTTCTTCTGCATATCAGAATTGGCGAATATCGATCCAATGTATCAATATTCGCTACCGTGGTTCATAAACCTGTACATCTCAGCGATACTCAGCAGCGATAAGTCCGATGATTTAAATATCCGAATCGAAAGTCTAAACTCTATTTTCACGAAAAGCATCTACAGAAACGTGTGTCGATCACTCTTCGAGAAAGACAAGCTAATCTTTTCCTTAGTGCTGACAGCGGGGATTCATCGGGCGGAGGGTCGAATCCAGGAGGACCTGTGGTCCTTTCTCTTGACAGGAGGAGTGGCCCTGCAGAATCCCCACAAAAATCCAGACCCTACGTGGTTGACTGAGAAGTCCTGGTCGGAAGTGACGAGAGCTGATGCCTTAACCGGGCTCCAGGGCCTCAGGCAGTCTTTCCAGGAGGGGCTGGCTTCCTGGAAAGATTACTACGACCTCTCAAATCCCCAGGATCACTCCTTTCCTAAACCCTTCGACGGGGTCACAAGGAAGGAATTGAGATCCCTAGTAATTCTCCGTTCCGTTAGGCCAGACAAATTGGTATCAGCAGTTCAGAGTTTTATTTCCTTGAACATGGGTCAGACTTTCATAGAACCCCCACCATTTGACCTCCAGGCGTCCTATGACGACTCGACAAGGACTTCCCCCCTCATTTTTATTCTGTCCCCTGGGTCTGACCCCATGGCAGGGCTCATTAAATTCGCGGAGACCAGGGGAATCCTCAAGAAGAACCTCATGACCATCTCCCTGGGGCAGGGCCAGGGCCCCCTCGCTGCTGACATGATCAGAAAGGGGATCCAGTCTGGGGAATGGGTTGTCCTCCAGAATTGTCACCTCGCTGAGTCCTGGATGAAGGAACTCGACAGACTCTGCGACGAAACAATAATTCCTGAGGCCACTCACGACAAATTCAGACTCTGGTTGACCAGTTATCCCTCCAGGGCATTCCCCGTGTCAATCCTTCAGAACGGTGTGAAGATGACTAATGAACCGCCCAAGGGGCTCAAGCAGAATCTTCTCAGGAGTTACCTGAATGATCCCATATCAGATGAGAAGTTCTTCAAGGGCTGCAAGAGAATCATCGAGTGGGAGTCACTGCTTTTCTCGTTGTGCTTCTTCCACGCCGTCGTTCAGGAACGCCGACAGTTCGGACCCCTCGGCTGGAACATACCTTACGAGTTCAATGAATCCGATCTCCGCATCAGTGTTCTACAGCTCCAGATGTTTCTCAATGACTATGAAGAGGTGCCATTCGAGGCACTCCTGTATCTGACGGGAGAATGCAATTATGGGGGCAGGGTCACCGATGATAAAGACCGGAGACTCCTAAATTCTTTACTAAGGAACTATTATAATCCTGCGGTGATCAGGGATAAGGACTACGTCTTCTCACCCAGTGGAAAATTCCGGATGCCCAGAGAAACGCGTATGGAAAATTATTTATATATATCTATCATCATTTAATAATGATAATTTTAATAATAAAATAATAAACTATATTAGACCATGATGGGTGTTTGGAGTATATCAAGACTCTCCCGATCACTGTCTGGCCCGAGGTCTTTGGACTCCATGACAACGCGGATATAACAAAGGACAATAATGAGTCGATGCAACTCCTCGGCGGTGTTCTTCTGACTCAGACGCAGATTAGCGTCGGGGGAGCAGAAGGTGATGCTGATGCCATGGTTTCACTATTGGCTAGTGACATTCTCGATAAAATGCCTGAACAATTTAATCTGGAAGACGTGGCTGACAAATATCCGGTGCTTTACATGAATAGTATGAATACTGTACTCAGACAAGAGCTCATCCGGTTTAACAGACTGACGATTGTCATCAAAGGATCCTTGAAGAACGTACAGAAGGCGATCAAGGGACAGGTGAAAATTGACGAGTCAAAGAGTTTTTAAATGATTTATTGTTTATCAAAATAAATTCAATTTCATTAATTTAAAATCAGGTTGTGATGTCTGCGGAATTGGAAGAGGTCTTCCTCAGTATGAGCATCGGAAAAGTCCCATCTGCATGGGACAAGAAGTCTTATCCCTCGTTGAAGCCCTTGGGGAGTTACGTCAATGATCTTCTGGCGAGAATTAAGTTCTTTCAGGATTGGATCGATCACGATGCGCCGAATGTTCATTGGCTCTCTGGATTTTTTTTCACGCAGTCATTTCTCACTGGCGTCATGCAGAATTACGCGAGAATGCATAAAATTCCTATTGATCATCTCGATTTTGAATTCGAGGTGATGGGGGATTTGGATGGCGTCCAGGAAGCAGCAATCTCCGGGGTTTTCACCCACGTCAGTTTTCAATGTTTTTCTTCGTCTTTTTTAATAATAATAGTCACAATAATAATAATAATAAATTATTCAATTGATATGAATAAATCAACTTTATAATACAATTGAATTTTTTATTTTTTTTTTTGGTTTCAGGGACTTTTTTTGGAGGGTGCACGTTGGAATAAAAAAATTAATGAGCTTGACGAATCGAAACCGAAAATAATATTCGATGTGATGCCAGTGTTGTGGCTGAAACCAGGGGAAAAAGCGAAATTCAAACCACCACCGAGTTATGCCTGTCCTGTTTACAAAACGAGTGCCAGACGTGGAGTCTTGGCTACCACTGGTCACTCATCCAATTTTGTGATGTATATACTGATTCCCACGAGACTCGAAGAGTCTCACTGGATCAATAGAGGTGTTGCTTGTCTTACGCAACTTGATGACTGATTCGTTAATTGATAATGAATGATTTTGATAAGGAAAAAAATTATTTAACTGAATAACAGGTAATATGGTAATATAACGACTTTTTATTATTTGTGAGGGTCACGTCTTCATCGTCAGTCCTTAAAAAACAAGCTCGAGAAATGCACAATGAGAAATAACAAATGTAAAATTGTATATAATATTGCTCATGACGGAAGTGAATTTTGAGGTTAGAATATCCACGACAATGTTTATTGATAATTTTTAAAAGGGTTGAAGGCTATATTTATTTATTTATGTATTTGAGTTAATCTTCTAGTCTCGTAAGTGACTTACTTCATATTCTGTCAACTCCTAAGAGACCAATTTGCTCTTGATCTTTCCTGCGACCGTCCATTTAATTATTTCAAAATTTTCAATCCATGATCGATCGATATTTTATTGTTTACAATTCATGCAATCAAATCTTTACATTTGTCACCCATGTTTGTTAGATGATGGAGATAATCGATTCTCCTCTCGAACTAGATTATTTAAACAATCTCCAAGGACTTGATTAAGAAACTTTTATAGAAACGTGTGCATGGAAAATTCATGCAATTATTTTTTATCTAAAGTCATATTATGATTCTTCCAATTTTCATCGCCAATGGTTTTACTGAAGAAACACATAGAAATACCAGAAAGAACTCGAACTCAAGTGAATGAATTAAAATTGAAAGAATCAAGTTCATCCTTGAAATCTTATAAAATCCAGAAATTCTACTGAAACTTCAAAAAAATTCTTATAGTAAACCAATGTCAATAGTGGAAAAAAATACTCAAAAAAAAACGGAATCAATCGATTTTATCATTTTTCATTGCGTTCTGACTTTTTTTCTATATAATAATTCAAAAATTGAGTCTCTCCCGAAACACCCAATTTGAAATTTCCCGCGGCTGCCAACGGACCCCGTGCAATGGTGGGTATGTAGCATCCGGTTTCTCTCCAGCTCGACTCAACGAAGATGGCAACAGTAGCCTTAAAACCCGAGTAATAATCACCATCTATCGCACTCGAACCCCCAAAGAATAATGGAAAAACTCATCACCACAACCGCGAAAAATCCCCCCAAAGAGATTAACTGAAACCCGGTGATAAAAGCTCTAAAAACCCATCGAAATTCCCCGAAAACCCCCGCGTCCCCGAGTGTCTGGTGTCACGTGGTGGCCACCCACGTTTCGGTTTATTGTGGGTAAACAAACTCGATAAATCGTGTACCCAGGAGCTCCAATCGTCGGTGTGTGTTTTAAAAAAGGCGTGAATAACTCTGAAAAAATAATTTCACCACCACGTCGACATCATCTCCTGGCAAATTCACGTAATAATCAAAACCCAAGGGGTTGAATTGTTGGATTTGAAGAGTGGGAGTGAGAAAGTACGTGTGACGTTGCGAGAGTGAGTGTGAGAGACCAACGAGAGAGAGAAGACAAACGAGACAACGAGGTAGAGAGGGGTGAAGGAAGTGTTAAGGCAATAGAGTTTTTCCATCATCACATATCCGTGTAATACGTGAAATAATAATCGTCAAAATCCAGTAACAAGTGGATGTTGAAGACGTCTCTCACCAGTGATAAAGAAAAAAAATAACCTGACGTTCCCATGAGTTTCACAGATAAACTCGTCAAGTTGGAATAATTTGGGTGGGCCGGCCATATTACGTGAAAGAAATAAGCCAGAGTCGGTATCTCGTATATATTTTTTTATCCCCTCCTCCCCCCCTTTGTTTTCCTCGTTTTATTATTTTGATATTTGTTTCCTCCTTTTTCCCCCAGCTTTTCTCCAACTTATTTTGCACTCGTGTGCGTCGAACGCGTGCACATTAAACATTGACTCCCGGGGCTCGAGGGGCTGGGGGACACGAACAATTGATTTGATGGTAAAAATAAACAAAACAGATTCGCAAGTGACTGGATGAGAGAGAGACTGAGGTGAGGGAGAAGGTTTCAAGAGGGGAAAAAAAAAAGGTTGGGACTTTGTCGCTGGGGGGTTTTTCCTCGTGTTTTGAAGGTGCGAATTGTTGACGGATTTTTGGAGTTGTCCAGTGAATTATTCGAGAAATTTCGTCATGTCGTCAACTTATTCGAGGACACAGGAGAGCGACGCGTGGGCGCTACTTGCCCTTAAATCAGCACCAGCTAGTCCAGCTAAAATGCAGTGGAATCCTGAGGCCAAGGGTGCACCTATTGCTAGATTGGAGGGACGTGAGTTTGAATATATGGTTAGACAGAGGAGAATAACTATTGGAAGAAATAGCAGCAAGGGAGAGGTTGATGTTAATATGGGACTCTCGAGTTTTATATCGCGACGACATTTGGAGGTTTTTTATGATCATCCGTATTTCTACATGACTTGTAATGGCAAGAATGGTGTTTTTGTCGATGGGGTTTTTCAACGCAAGGGAGCACCGGCTTTCCAGTTGCCCAAGACGTGAGTATTTCAGTGACAACTACTGTTTATTTATTTCGTCGGAATTTTCATCGTGACGTTGGGGATTTTGAAGATATTACTCGCTTCAGGCAAATCAATCGTATAAGTAATGATGGAAATGGGAGAATGTGTGAGTGACAAAACATCGGGGAATTACGTCATTGGATGTAATAGTTATTGAAGAGCTTTTTAGTCGGTTCTACCATCTTCCACGTGGGGCATTTTGGGAACTGCATTGAGATGAGATGGAATTTTTTATAAAAAATCTACTCGACCATTTGAATTAGTACAATTGCAAAAATTTTTAAGAAACTCTTCAGAGTTACTACTACTCGAACTCCAATAAAATTTGAATGGAATTTAAAGTCCTCCAGAAATTAATGAGATTTTCTATTAGGTTTTTTCATACGTGTGACTGGATTTCAGAGAAATTATTTCGTGTTTGTGTTTATCTTTGCACTCTGTCCCCCTGGGATGTTGATGGTGGAATGTAAACAAACGTGAACTCGAGGAATTTTTCACTAAGAAATAATGAATGGAGTGATTACTCTGGTTGATGATGAGAGTTATCCCACGTATGTTTCAATTGTTCAATAATCAATCACTGTGGAATCGATGTATCTGTGTGATAACGTCGTACATCTGATCATCAAGACGTTACACAGATAATTCGATAATTACACTGCTAATTTTTGCTCACTGAAGTTGACCTCAATAATTGATTCCCCGATTACAATGAAAAGTTGTATTTTCGATCTGTTAACAATTCCAGATACGGATTTGATAATTAATGAATGAGTGTTGATAGGAATGAATGATCTTGTGTAATTACCTGTGCTTTTTCTGAAGCTCATGAGAAATCTGCTGGGGAGCATTGACAATCGATTATATACATTAAAAATACATTCCAGGAATGATCGTATTTTAATATTGAGTGAATGTTAATGATAAATTAAACAATTATTTTCCAGATGTACATTCAGATTTCCAAGTACAAACATACGCCTGGTGTTTCAATCTCTGGTTGATGAGCAGGAGCAGACAAACGTGCGTATGGCATCACCACCAAAGCAACGTGCACCCCTGCCACCTCTACGCATCAATATTCCAGACACTGGATACAGCAGTCCATTCCCATCGCCAACAGGTACAATAAGCGCTGCTAATTCGTGTCCAGCGAGTCCACGTGCTGGTCAGAGTAGACGCAATATATCAGCTGATTTGCAAATGGTCGCTGCATATGCAGCAGCTGTTGCCAATGAGCCACATACTGGGGACAGACATCAAGAGGCTGGACAGAGTACAAGCAAACAGATGAGCCCAGAGCCTGGGGCTGATTCACGCTATCGTAATAATGCTGGACAGGGCTCCAATGGCACAGCATCACACTACAGCCCACCCAAGGATGACTCAAAACCACCGTATTCATATGCTCAATTAATCGTACAAGCTATTGCATCAGCCCAGGATAAACAGCTGACACTGTCTGGTATTTACTCGTACATCACTAAGAATTATCCTTATTATCGGACTGCTGACAAGGGTTGGCAGAATTCTATACGACACAATTTGTCGTTGAATCGGTACTTCATCAAGGTACCAAGGAGCCAGGAGGAGCCAGGGAAGGGCTCGTTCTGGAGGATAGATCCACAGTCTGAGGCTAAACTCATTGAGCAGGCCTTCAGGAGACGGAGGCAGAGAGGTGTTCCATGTTTTAGGGCTCCATTTGGACTCTCCTCCAGGTTTGGTGGCATTTTTCATTTGGTTTTTTTTTTTCATTAAAAAACATGAGAATTTAATTTTACACGAAATTTATCTATCTATTGAATCGACTTGTTAGCCTTCACTTTTCGTTACTCTGAATTGCTTCAGCGACCTGTGATCAATTTCACCCAGAGAAATAACTGGCGGTGGAAAATGTTTTGTGAAAGATTCTAAGAGTGATTTTCCACTCGGTTTAAAGTTCGAATTATTAGAATGGAATATTTTACACCGGTGGCAGCCTTGACCAATTTTCACCACCTGAGAGATGGAGAAGCTCAAAAATAGTATGGGCTGTGTATTCAATGGAGACGAAAGTACTCAATGCGACGAGCGCCTCTCGTGCATGACAAAAGTAGTATTTAGACCGAATATAGATGAACACTTCCCCCTTCATGTTACTCTCCTTTATGCGAATAAAGAAGTGATTGTTCAATCCCAAGAAAAATCTACTCGTTTCCCAACGATCTGATTAATGAATAATTAAAAATTTTCATTTGACGTTCGACTTCATTAATTGCATTCCAGTAGTCGAGAGATATCTCTGAATTTGAGACAGATAGTTATATTGATATTAAAGAATATTTTGTATATATTGAATTATTTTAATTGGTAAATTTAATTGACTTTTAGGAGCGCCCCGGCTTCACCCTCCCACGTGGGCATGAGTGGAATAATGACCCCTGAGTGTCTGAGCAGAGAAGGCTCCCCAGGGCCAGAATCGTATCCTGACAGTTCGGTACCATCTCCAGCTGGACAATTAAGTCAGTCTGCACCAGGATCACCAGGACATCCTTATGTTTCTCCAGCACCACCGACCCACAAAGGTCGGCTTGTGCAACAGATTGGAGTTGTTACTAATGGCGTTAACAATGATACTCCACGAGAAGGTACATTATTGTCACTTTCATAATTTACAATCATAAAATTCAATCAGATTTCTCTTGTTATGCACCATGTTATATTTTAAATTACTTATTTCGTGGTTTTTGCTGTCTAATCTCTGCGGTCTCCATTCTCTGTCCTCATGAAACTAACAAGTTGATTACGTTTATTTTTCGTGAACGAAAAATACCACGGGATTGAGCTGTACGGAGATTAATGCTCGACATGGAAAAAACCGCTGTAATCTTTCATTTTGAAATTTTTCCTCGCGTGACGTGTTTCAGTCCTTTAGCTGTGAGAGATGATAAATTATGTGGGCAGTTTGATTAGAGGATAGGGCTTATGGAGACTATTAATCACCAATTGTTTATGCAACTCATGTGGTCATGTGGAGTATGTTTTGGGGTTTTTTAGAAAAATATTTGGTGCCTGGAAATGTAATAGAAGAGCAGTCGTTATCACCAGCTGGCCAGTATAGTCCGGCTCCAGTTATTGTACAAACAACATACAACTACAGGTGAATACTCGTGTAACCGGAATCCAGAGATTTTTTAATTCATTGTTAATGTCCAAAAAATTGATTGAATTTCCCAGTGGTACATTCATCGGCCCTGACGCAGGCGTTGGGGCAACCAAGCGTGCCCATGAAGAGCCGGACAGTTCTCCAGGTTCTCCAGCACCTCTGGCAATCGTGGAGAGTCCAGAGCCTCCAGAGCATCAGCAATCACAGCAGAAACGACAGCGCGTTCACGACGCAGACGATCATTGAGAAACTCCCACTAGGCTGCACATTTTCTCATTAAAAAAAAAATCGTAGGATATTGTTATGATTGCAGTTATGATTAAATTCAGCTAATCGTCAGACGAATCGTCCGCTCGATCTCAGAAGCGGTGCGAACGATGATCTACGATTTAAATATCGATTAATATTTGAACAATCGAGTGATGGACATTTTTCAGAGTGAAAACTCCTTTTTTTCCTTTTTCTAGAATTGCTAATTTTATTTTTCCCCCTTTTAGGTAGTAATTAATGAGAAAAAGTCTTCGAATGGCCGTGATTAAGTAACAGTAGGAATTTATTAATGATAGGTCTTTTTCATGATCAATAGTCGACTGTAGTAATTTTTTTTCCACTTATTTTTCCCTATGGTAATCATTTTTTTATTCACCAAACTGCCAGGTTACATTTGTTTAATTGGAAATTCGGATTTTTTTAAGTTTATTTCGCGAGTGGATGATCCGTCTGACTTGGAACTCCAATGAGTTTCTCAAACATCCCAGGATTAACCCTTCAGTCCCATTTGTTCAGATTATGACCAAAAGTTATTACTTCTAATTAATGAAATCACGCGGTACCATTTATTATCGGCTGTTGGATTGAAATGGAAGACAAAAATAATCATCACTCAATCACTCGTGAAATCGAGTCCTTTTAGTTACGATTTTTTGATTCTAGAATTAATTTTCTAGGAATTATTATAACATTTTCGTTGGTATGAATTGTGGCATATTTCATTGATTCATGAGTTTTTCAAAAAAAAAACGTCCATTCGTGAAAATGAGGGAAAAATATGATGTTAATGTAGGGAAAATGTACATCACGTACTTATATTGGGAAATGTAATTTTTTCGTACTCACCATTAGCTTTTACCCAAACGGGGGATTTTACTCACGAGAGGAAAATAAAGGAAAAAAAACGAAGAGAAATGGAATTTCTTTGTGGTGTTCAACAGTTCTTCGATTCCCCCCAAGCTGTTGCTCCTTATCAGACATGATATCTGGCATTTAAATGTTTTTAGATGATACTAGAATTTTAGCTGGTAATTAATGATCAATTAACGATCGAAACACTAGCTCATCACCCAATTAGAAACTGCTTGTAATTGAAATACAATGTCAATCAGCTAAATACGTTGATTTCCCAATATAATTACGGCTAATAGCTTGTCGAATCTGCTTATTCCAGAGTAATCAATAGAAATGGTGGAACCCCTCTCGCATAAAACGAAAGAAATAATCAGCAAACTGAAATTCATTGATCTATCCGGGGAAGTGAGATGGGATTGAAAATAGAAATTGGAAAAAGTCTGAACGTGAATATTTAAAATTCATCTCATTTCACCATTTTGCCAGCCGCAAGAGAATAGAATATCTTTTTTTTTCTGTTGATGATAAGAGATGATAAACAAAGATGATGCTGTTACGAGCAATAAATAAACAATGACACAAATCATATTTTTTTTTTCCTTCGTCAAGTTGTACAGCCTCCGGAGCAGAACAAAGTGAATGAGAAAAAAAATTAAATAATCGTTAAAAACAACAATTCTAATTTATAGATATGCATATGTATGTGTATATATAATCTATATTTATACCCGTATATACACGTATATATGTGTGTGTGTATTTGGATGAGTATATGATGTATTCGATTGAATAATAACTCTTAGTGTTTATTATTGCGATGAACAAAATGTTGGGGTGCCCCGAGGTGCCTCATTTATCCCCCCCCTAGGTATCAGAGATAATTATTCCCATTATCTCCCCCCCTCCCCCCACAAATCAATGGTGGAGCGAGATAATCGATTGCCCATAGATTCTTAAAAATAATTCAGGAGAGGGCAGTGAAGGAATCCAAACGAAAAGAATAAAATAAAAAAGAATGTATTATAAAATTTCAATGTTTCGCAGGCAAATCGTTAATTATGTTTATGATTTTGTAGAGAAATAAGCGGAATAATCGGAAGGAGAATAAATTAACAAATTATATATAAGCAAGTGACATCTATTTTTGTGACGATTAGCGTAAAAAGCATGAGTGTAGAAGAAAGAAAATAATTGAAATGAAGTAGAAATGTTCGTATGATGACCTCGAAGCGATAAATAATTTGGTATACCGATAATTAATGCAGCGAACAGAAGAAATGACAATTGTGTAAATTGCGTCTATTAATCAATCCATTTGTTTATCGAATCACCGAATGTTCATCTCTTTTTTTTTTTTATTGTAAGAATTTATTGGAAATTTATTGACGAATTGGGAATGTGAGAGCTTTATATTTATCCTTTAGGCCCACATGACTTGGAATTTTTGTAGAGTAAAAAATCTTCGGGGAGGAGATGGGATGGAAAGAGATGGCGAGTGTATCGTGCACGTACAATAATTGAATCATTTATTATTTTAATAAATCACGAGATTGTGCGATGAACTTGTGATTCTGTTCGGCTGCTAACTACAAGACTCTTGGCTGATACAAATGTGAATGCATAGGAGAAATAATTTATTCTATGGGATTAAGACAGTAGATGCCTCGACTTCTTATCCCCAGAATTGTATAACGGAATTCAGATGATTAGAGATGATCTAGGCATAAAGTGCTTCTTATGATTTCATTTGTCGTTAATGGAACAACCACGAATTGTATTATTTTTGCTTACGAGTCATTCACGAATGAATAAACAATGCTTGACAGTTTAACGATGTAGGGAGATAATGAACGGTAATTGGGGGAGATTATTGTTGGAGGATTGAGTAGGAATGAATTATCAAATTTAGTTGTGATGGATTGGAGGGCGACATGATTGAGGAGAAGGAGGATATTATGGGCTTTCGGATAAATTTTAAGGAAATATATGGATTCCAGATTATTTTTCGAGTTCATTTGATTTCTCCTTTACCCTATTCACATTTTTTATCACGAGGACCGAAGAATTTAGTGATTATTTTCAATTGTTAATTAATTCACAATTCCTTTGGTACTTGTAGAATATAATTTTTGGTTTAACGCCTGTTGCAATAATAATGTATGAAGATATATTATAATATAAATCGTGTATTCCTCTAAATAAAATTCATCACTATAAGCCATTAAGCACATTATCAGGAAAGTGAGAGATTCCAGCTCTCCTGAGTTAATCAGGCACCAATGAATACGTAAAATTATTAGGCACTTCACATCCTGGATGTGTATTAAAAATATTTTATTCTCTGTCATGTTCTCTGTGAGGTTCACTTCTTCTCATCCTGGGCCATTACAGACTCGTAGGACGGCGGTGGTGGAACTAGAAATGAAATAATAAAAATGGAATTAAGTTTCAACCTCTGGGGCTGCATTCAATCGTAAAGTCATAAAAGGAATTGAATTTAATTCCCTTCGTCATCAATTTTTTTGTTAAAGACACAAATCATTGATTTCGTCGATTTGGGGAATTGAGAGATTCCTCCAGAAATAAAGTATAGAATCGAGAGTCATGAGTTATAATTATTTATGAAATTACGTGATGCAGGATCCGCAGGCGCAGAAGGACTTGGAATTTGGAAGCCGATCGCTGGTACTGGATTATATGAGGCAGTATCAAAATTCGGTTTAATTCCTGGCGAATTCATTCCTGGGGCAGTAGGAAAGGAAGACGTCGGGGTAGCCACTGGAGCAGTTGGAGGCACGAAAGATGCCGAGTCTTCCTGGATTGCACCCAATCTCGAACCGATTGTGATCGGAAGTTCCGATTTAGTATCGCAATGGCTGTCGAGAATAATTTTTGAATTGTAACTCATCGAGTTAGTCAAAGGAATTACAGTTTACCAATTCTACAGAATTTGTGGATTTACCAGTCAGAAACTACGAATCTGATGCAGGCGAGGTATTTAATATCGATGAGATTGCAGTATTGGAAACCAGAGTGGAGGATCGAGGGCACCTGCAGTCCGAGTTTTATGGGGGTATGTGTGGGGAATGGGCCATGTTTTTCGGTGGACTGTAGAACTTCAACCTGAGACTTCGTTCTACTCTCGGCATGAAATTCTAATTGCTGAAAGCATTGGAAAAAAATCGGTCGCTCATTATTTTTTCAAACAATTTTTCATTCCATTTATACTCATCTAATGATTCACCTGTTTCAATCGTAATCGGATAGCCTGGATGTCTACACTCCTGGAGCTTGCTATAATCTCAATAATAACATCAAGTTCATCTCCAATTTCGTAAGTACTCTTTGGTATGTGTATTCGTGCCTCCATGAACCCTTGACCGAGACAAGGAAGTATGCAGCAGCAATACTCTGCATGCACCTCGTCTTCGATGATGTGCTGTCAATAAAATCACGTATGGAAAAAAAAAATTGAAGGAAAAATTCAAGTGAAACTTCATTTAAATTTTCAATGGATACTGCTAAGAACGAGGTAAGGAATACTAAAGAACAAGAAGAGTCTCAGATAGAACGTCAATGCAATTCCAAATGCGAGGGATTCTCCCAGTTGAATTTAACATTCTTGTGAAATATCTTGTATGAATATAAATACATGATTTTTCGGTTTTATCTTCTACTTACTGACGGTATTTGGGTGATATCGAGGGGAGAGTAAACGGTGAATGGAAGGTAGCATTCTGGGTCCAAGGCCCATGCTATATCCATCACTGCTTTGATGTTGTACACAACGTCACCATATTTATGCTCAAAGCTGTTGGGGATGTTCATCGGAAGTGTAAATGTAAAGGGAAAAATGTGTTGTCCTCCCACCAATTCAATCTCGCCGTCTGGAAATTCCGGGGAAAAATATCACGTGCCATAAATCATCATCAGGGAAAATCGATGGAAAATTAATTTCTGACAATATTAAAATGGGAAAAATATTTCTCAATGGGAGGATTCGAATTTCACTCACGGGAACTTCCAACCACGTAGACTTCTGTTCCAAAATAATTTTCTTCTGCTCTGTAGTAAACAGTTCTTCTGTTTTTTCCAGTACCCCTTGTCTCTGACCAATGGACCTTCGATCTGCCTTTGAATCTCAAGCTGATGCCTGAATCAATCATTAATTAAATCAACATATAGACCATTCTGTAATAAATCATTCTATAAATTCAGGAGAGCAATCTGTGGGTTTTTAAAAATGTTTTGCATCAAAAGTACGATCCATAATAATAGTAATAATCAATAATAAAAATAAACAAATCATAAATAACACTCCAATAAATAATTAAAATGTCACATTTGTTCAAAATGCAGAAAGATAATTTCAGCTAATGAGATATTAATGTTTAAAAAGTTTGTATCTGATTATAAAAAATAATTAGAGCTGAAAGAAGTTGTAAAAAAAGATCGTTATAGTTTTTCATTTCAAAAATAGATGCATTACGAAATGTTTTTATTAAATTCATAAAGATAACTTCATAACATTTCCAAGCATCCAAGATGCGTTAATTAATAAATTTTGTGATACAACGAAATGGGTCAAGTTTCGAAATTATTATTATTGATAAAATTCAATGGAATTTCACAGATTTCATAAAAACACTTGCTGCGTATTTGGAATCTTGACATTTAACTGGTGTAGGTGGCGGAAAAACTTGAACAATTCTAACCTCCAATAAATATAATGAAGATGATTAAAAAAATAAATACACATTCCCGAGCCTACGGAGAGATTGAAGAGAAATTAAATGATTTATTTGCCTCGACATGTTGCTGCTTCATCCAAATCCACAACGGCTTCTCCAGTTATTGTTTCACCTGGTGAATAAACGATGGGAAACTTGTTGACTCTGATGGCAATCGATTTATCAGATGGCATGATAAATAAATAGCAGAAAAATCATGCAATCTAGTATCAGGTGGATCAGGGTAAATTAAAAAATTTGAGGTCACGAGGAAAATTCACGCCCACTGTATTGCGACGCAACCCCAACTGTTTTTCCTGATATGCACACTGTCAGTATCAAGTTGCATTTTCAAGGACATGATTAGATGAAAAAGTCTACTCATTGAAACGGTTATCTCATAATGCACACAGAAAAATTATCGACTTTAATGACATCAATATCTCCGTTTGAATTTTATTTTCATCTTCAACAAATAGTTATTACGAATTAATAAAAAAGTAAATACATAGGTCACTTATAATAAAATTATATAATTCTATTTATACTTCAATTTATTTATTTAGTTAATTTAATTCAATTGTGAGAGATAAGAGCTTCAATTTCGATTTTTAGTGATTCCGATTTGATAATGAATTCATTTGTTTAATTAAAATTGAAGAGGAATGAGAGAAATTCGAGAGATTTCTTAATGATTTGAGTTTATAAATTTTAATGACGAAGGCGTGGTTTTTATGAAAAATTTCTATTTGTGCATTCAAGAATTATTTATTATGCAGAAATCATTTCTGACTCGCGTAATTTGAATGTAAATAACCCAATGGAATTTCGATTCTACGAGTCATCAATATTTTACAGCTCAGGATTAACATCAACTGTGGATCAGCACATTGATTAGTCATCAGTTCCAACCTGTTTTAGATATAGGCATTGATGGGATGGATAATGTCCAACACAGGAAGTCCACATTAATCGAACTAATGCAATTTCTATCGATCCATCCGGCGAGCTGTATGAATTTTTCGATATGAATATGAATTAGTAACAATCGACCGTGTATTTTTGGATTAGACCGACAGATTCCCAGGGCTTGAAAATTGAATTCTTAAAAAAAGTCTAGCGGTCTTGAAGTCTTAAATTGAAAACTAGAGTAAAAAAATTCATTTTGAAACATTCGTCGGGATTTGAGGATTTTTGAGGATTTAGGATTTGAGTCTCGCGTTGTTAGCGCTAAGTAGCCACAAAATCTGGAATACCAAGAGACTTGAAACTCTGACCGCAATAATCTACTAATAAACATCATTCCAAGCATGTATTGAAAAACAGCTGGTGTGCGAGTGCGATATGGAATAATTCATGACCACTAAGGCCGACCGGCAGCTTGATTCTCTCGGAAGCTTAAATCGAGATTCACTTCTAGTGGAACTCTCATCCGTTGCACATCCCACCGAAACTACATTAAAAATAGAATAAAACAGAATCAATATCCTCCAATTCTACATAGTTACAAAATCATATAAAAATTTTATACATTTTCTATAATTGAATTTATATTTTTAATAATCATTGGTATATTTTTGGGTGCAATGGAGCGGATCATTTCGATTGTTTCAATTATATCTTTGTTCCTGCTTGGAGCACATGGTCTTCAGGAATTAACCGGAATTGTTCAGACAGATAAAGGATTTGTGCGTGGCGCGAAATTGAAAACAGTGGGAAATTCCCTCGAGTACTCGGCGTTCAAGGGAATCCCCTATGGCAAACCACCACTCGGATATTTACGGTTTAAGGTGAATTTGAAGGATTTTAATTTCGAGAATTGTCAGGTAGAAAACCACTTGACGAATAATTCGTCGAGTGATTGATTGTCGAAGTTGAAAAAATTTTAATTTAAATTGGTGATCTAAAAAAAAATTGATTCCAATGTTATATTCCATGAATTAATTTTCGACCTTTCATTTGTATCAATTACGTCACGAATTCATGTGTTATGTATTATAAATATATATTATGTATTATAATTTGTTATTGTTATGTATTATTTTTAATTTCAGCCTCCGCTGGAAGCAGATAGTTGGAATGATATTTTAAATGTGATATCCGACCCAAATCCATGTCCCCAATTCGCTCGCAAAACCGTTGATTTAATTGGTAACGAAGACTGTCTCTATCTCAATGTCTACACGCCAAAGGTCAGCGATTCAATTATTCACGGATAATAATCGATTATTTGATAATCATCGGGGCTCAGGGAAACAGCCGATCTTCCTTAATCAATTCATCAAGCCTTTTGATTTTAATTCTCAATTGAAGGCCGAGATTATCGTTGTCACTCATAGTTATCTTATTATCATTCAATGACTCGACTGTTCTTCGCGGTCTGTCAATTAATCAATTCTATTTATGACACCCTCACTCGTCAATTTCCATTTCTTGTATTTCATCAAAACGCGCGAATGAAGATTAATTATAAATTTGTCAACCACATTTTAATTAATTCTTACTAGAAATTTTATTGTTTTAAACAATCAGATATTTTCTATAAATCGTATCACTCGAAGAAATCGATCTTTCTGTTCGTTAATTTTTTATACGGTATATTCATTATATAAAATTAATTATAACTGCTTCATAAATTTGTTTTGTCGATAATTAATGGCGCTGAATAAATTCTCCCTTGACACACTGATAACATTTCACAATTGACAATACCTTTCCAGACAAAATTCAATTCCGACCCTGGGCAATTATCATCGGTAATGGTGTGGATACACGGTGGTGGCTTTTACGAGGGCGGTACCAACAGTTCGGTTTTGTCTCCTGATTTTTTAATCGAGGACAACGTCGTTGTGGTTGCGATGAATTATCGTCTAGGTGCCCTAGGTAAATCACCAATTAGTCTCCTAATGATCCATGAAAATCACTCGTCATTGTCCTCAGGATTTTTGTCACTGAACCATCCGAATATCACTGGCAACGCGGGACTCAAGGATCAGGTGTTGGCATTGAAGTGGGTACAGAGAAATATTCGAAATTTCGGGGGTGATCCCTCAAAAGTTACGATATTCGGACACAGCGCTGGATCGGCTTCTGTTGAGCTTCACAAGATATCACCCATGTCCAAAGGTACCACCAATTTTCTAGTCTTCATCTTCATCCCCAGACGAGGCCTGACCGAGCATTTATTTATTTCCCTTATAATTTCCTCTCATAATATACGATCACACGAGTCAATTTTTTTGAGGGCATCTCCGAGGATTCAACGATTTGTCGTAAAAATCTGAAAATTCCCCCGGGATAATACTATTAGTAATGGAAACAATTCTCAGGACTCTTCAGGGCCTCCATTGCCATGAGCGGTTCACATCTGAACCCCTGGGGATTTTCATCAGTGAACGCAGCTCTCTCCAGGGCATTTGAATTTCGCAAACACCTGCATCTAACGATAACCGATACCGATGATTTTGTCAGACAGCTTTACCATGTGCCTGTTAATAATTTGGTAACCGGAGTTTCCAAAATGACGAACTTGGTAATAATTCTTATTAAAAAAAAATTAATACTAAGGAATTATCGGAGAGCAGAATAAAAGGAAATGCTTAATTTTATTTTCTCAGTGCTTGAAACCTTTTTTAATCGTGTAGATAGATTTTATATGAAGAATTCCTTTTTCTTTTCAGGTTAATATACCCTTCGTACCGGTCCTGGAGGAGGCAACGATAAGTAATACTGAGAATTTTCTCTCCGAGTGTCCAATTCGCAGATATAAATCCGGAAATTATGAGGATTTGCCGCATATGTTGGGGTTCGTTGATTCGGAGACATTATTTCTTCTCCCTGGTGAGTCACCAGTGATTAGAAGGATTTATTTGTAATTATATAGTCAATTAATTATTTATTGTCGTATGAATTGCAGGCATTTTATTCGATATGTTAGACTGGAACATCTCAGACTTCAAGAAAAAATCAATTTGGGAAGTTGATCCTCAAGCCATCCGTGAAAGTGTCTCTGTGAGGATTTCACGATAATTCAGCTTCGATTATTGATTCTTGATTTGTGATTGGGGTTCTGTTGCAGATAAGTTCTGAATTATGGTTTCTTACTGGGATCGAGCGTACTCAGAGGTACTTGAGCAAGAGAAAGGCATCTGTCTATTATTACAAGAATTCCTTCGATTATGACGCCGCATTGCACAAGTTGGAGGGATGCCCAATAAATGGTTTGATTTTTTTCAGATTAATTTAATAAAGTAAATTAATCCGGAAATTATTGAAATAAAATTGTGACAATTTCCTTTGTACATGCCATTAATTTAGGTACATCGCATTCCGACGATCTTGCTCACATTTTTTGGATGCCAGAGAAAAATCAATCTCTCGATTCGACCAGTGAAATTTCCATGCAACGAAAAAGAGTCGTCAGACTCTGGACTAATTTTGCAAAATACAGGTATCTCTCATTAAATTTTCGGACTGCTCTCTCTAATCCCAGTTACGTTACAGTGATCCCACGCCAAATGGAACAAACGATGAAATCCTGAATGTGCAATGGATGCCATCAGGTACCGACGGACTCCATTTATCAATAAACAATAATGGATTGACAATGGGACCGCGGCCAATCAGCACGACAGGAAAAATTTTGGGAAAATTTTTCGATGCCATCGAAGAGACTTTGAACGGATGTTAATCCCTCAGTCACGATTTCCATCGGAATAAAATAAAGATCGAGCTATTGATGAATGAATTCATCTGATTCATCAGTTATGATCACATTTCTTTTAATTAAATATTTTTTTTATTACGCTATGGCTGATCCGATGATGTAATTCTCCTTTGGAGTTGATGCAGTTGAATTCTGTTTATTTCTCACTCCATTATAAATGCTTGTTTAAATCTTCCACCTGAATTATGCAAATTTCATCATGCCCATGAACGAGGCTCTACAATAGTATCCCAGTAAGTGGTGTTTACTTATTAAAGAGTCAGGGCATCTTAACGCGATGGCAATTCAAACTCCGAGACCTCGCCATTTGTTCTCCTGCTGTCTGTTCCATTTTCTGGGACGAGAACAGCTCGATCTGGAAAAAAAATGAGTGAACGAATTTTATAAAAATTCTCTGGAAAACTTATAGGAATTTCATTCCGATTCTTGAATTGATTTATATTTTATTTTCATTGCGGCAAATAATTCTCGATTTTTATAGAATTTTCCACGAGATACTAAGGGCATGAATTTAATTTTTTCTATTATGGATTACACATTTCGTGGAATATCAGAAATATCTTGAAAATCGGTGGGACATCGCAAGATTTTAACTGATTATTTTTCAAGAATTAATGATCCACCAGCAGACAAGAAAATTTTCGTTTATTTAACGATAAAAAAGTAATTTTTCATGGATTGAACGACCATTGACGTCATAACCGAGTAAAAATATCGTTAAAATGTGCCAGCCACGGAGTTTCAGGAATTATTCCTGAATAATTAATGATGCACCCGAGATTATAAATAAATAATTCACTCTTTGTTGAGTTCATAAGTATCAGACAGCTCTAAAATATTAAATGCCCTAAGTAATAAAGTTCTTGAAAACATGCACAGTACAAATCGGCCATTATCTTGAATAAAAAATACATGGAGATAAGAACTTGAATTGTACCGGTCAATGGAGAATTGTCCATGACAGCAATAAAAAGAATAACCATTGCAAATAGAAACGGAGATGAGATACCTCCGCCCGATTATTTCATATCATCGAATGTTGTGATAACGAATAAATTTCTCGTGGATGCCTCAAGCCTCCAGTAATTAATTTGGATAATAAAAAATTGAACGAGCACGGATGCTGTCACGCGTTTGACAGCCAAATGCTATTAATCCTAATTAGCAAACTGTATCAGGCGTAAATTGCTGATACGATGCGGAGGAAAACCCAGTGGTACGATGTGCATTGATGGATCATTGTTTGATGATGAAGTAATTGCTCAAACATGGGATCAGTTTCTATTCTACTTGTTTGTTTGCTCGAGCATCAGCCACCGATGGAGATATTTATTTGCGCATTAATTTAGATTGCGGCTGTGAAATGGTGAATTTCAAATGTTCTAATAATTCATTTCCAAGAGATTTGAAATTATCAACATTTTGAAGATTCAAAACAATTTGAAAGTGATGATGCGGGATAATTGATGACAGTGTCACTATCACTATCCCATCATGCTGATGGTGGAAAGATGATAATTACGTATTATTACTGAGGGAATTGTCAGCCCCTATACGTGCTGATGTCTGGACAAAGCCACTGATGGCAACATCTCAATCAAATTCACGTCCGCAACTGCAATTCCGAACTGACAATTATATCGGGGACGGGGATTGTTTATATCTCAATGTCTCCACGTCGAAAGTAATCCGAGGTATTAATTATTGAACTCTTCGGACTGCGAAAGTTATGGGGAGGAAATTTCAGGTTTTGTTGATTGAGACATCGGGAAAATGCCCGGAGGATTGAAATTTTAAGTGGTTCCGCCAAATTTAGTCGGACTTCTCTTGTCAGGCTGAAAATTCAGACGAGTCGTTCAATTTTAAAATAGAATCGACACAAGTGAAGCTAAGGTTCACCGGTTCATCTCAATCTTCGCAGGTGGAAATTAGATTGTGCAGATAGGATTAGATAAATTTATCAATTATGAGTTATGAGTCATCTCTGAGTAGTAATTCCGTTTCTTCCGCCGGCTTTCTATTTTTGGATCGACGAAATATCACCGGAAATGCTCAATTGGGAGATTAGGTGCTTGCGGTAAAATGGATTCGATGGTATATTTTGAATTCGACGGAATTACGATATCCGGTCAAAGTGCTGAGGCTACTCTGAGGCTACTCCTCTGGAATTCCATAAATTATCTGACCTGTCAATTCGGCTCCAATTATGCAAATTATTATTCTTTTCTAATTATAACATATCGATGACAATATTTCTGTTAATTGTTAATTAAAACCATTCATAAAAAAATGTCAGTGCATTTAATGAGCAACGCAGAGTCGTTTTCAACATATTTTTTGTCTTCGAGTAATCGTATTTATTTCATTTTTTTTTAGTTCCTTTCAAATCAATGTACGGGGATAAATCAATTGCTGGAGATGAAGTTTTCCTGGCGAAATGTGCAGTGAATCTCTATAAATCTGGCAATTTCAGGCAACTGCCACATATGACGGGATTCACCGCTTGCCGAACCGATATATATAGACCCATGTAAATCGTAATTGGTGATTGGATATCATGTGAAACACAATTCTGCGAGTGGAAAGGATATTTTATTCGTGGAAAGAATATTTAACAAAAATTTTGATCTATAGTAGAGCTTCCCATTGTTTTATTAAAAAACTATCAAATTCCGTATGAAATCATTTGATATTTTTACACGGTGAGGAATATTGAATAAAAATTACGTGTCTTCTCCGTAATTTTAATTAATTTAAAATGTAATTGTAGGACATTTTTTGGAACTGTTACATCATTTTTATCTAAAGTCACGAAATTTTTCTGTGGCGTTCCGTAATTTTTATCTGAAAATTATCTGCGAAAAATTACGATACGGTGACGTAAATTTTTCGAGTCGATTTCGTAATCAGTGAACAAACTGAGAGTTCCGTAATTTTTACTCAATATTTCTCTCCGCGTATGGAATTATGGATATATGATTTTGATGATGATTTGTGGTATCGATGCAGCTCTAAATAATTAATCGTAACAATTTGAATAATTTCAAAGGGTTGCGGGAATAGATTTTCTCGTGGCAGTGGAAAATATGTGATCAGAATCCTCAGGTTGCATTCTTCTGTGAGATATTCTTGGGTTACGTGGGTTACTCCAGGGCATGTCGAAATATGAATCTTCTCGTGCAGAAGACCCACGAAACGTCCTGAGGGCAATTCACCAGTGAAGTGGAGAATACAGAAAAGTCTGGTACAGACAGGTTGATTTTTTATAATAACATTTTTTTTTTTAATTCTTTTAGAGTGCTGGAACCCGTACATTAGGTTATTTACACTTTCGTATGGTAGATCATATTAATTCTATTACATTGCCATGTTAAATTTTATAATAACATTGTATTGGTTTTCCTAGCATCTTGTAATCCCGAGATTTTAATGAGAGAATGTCAATTAATAGTAATAATACGGCTGTTCAATTAAATTCATTCAGAGATTTTTTTTTATTTCAGATTTCAGAGAGTCAAGTCGAACTGAAGTGTGACGTTTAAAATTTAATAATTATTATCATAATATAATTGGTATTATGTCTAATTATAATTATTGGGGGTTTTGTGGTTAAATTTGTCCGTGGAATTGTAGATTGTGGTAATGATGATAATTGACAGATTGAGTTGATAAGTGAGGATGACAGAAGGGTTCGCAGTTCAAGTTATTTACATCCATGGGGATCTTATTCAGTGGATACGTTATTTAATACTTTATTGATTCGTGTTACCCAGTGGGTAATTATGTGAAAGATAATTGAAACGTACTGGGAATTATCGATGGGTGTACATTTCTGTCTTTTTGAAGATTGAATTTGCCGGTCTATTTTGAAAATGTCAAGTGTTCGAATTTCACATTAGCGACATAATATTTCAATTAAAAATATTCGATTACTTTCATGAATTCATTATCAACTTCAACCATTCATTATTTCCTATTTTTTTTTTAACCAATTGCGAAATAAATGACAATGAATAAAATTGCGCAGGAGAAACCGGGAAAAATGCAAAAATTGACTTTTCATTTTGTTTATCAGTCGTCGAAGTTAAGATGCCGTAAAAAATGTGTAAAAAATAGTTAAAGATTTATAAACCATGCATTTGCAAGTTTTTAGTTCTGGACCAGGAAAATACCTGAAATAGGGTACCATAGATTTCTTAATGAGGCACCACCTGGACGGTTGTAAACCCCCGGAGAGTTTACGTCTCTTCACGTAAATCATTCAAATGATGGGGAAGAGAACGTCAATAACGTGTTGAGCACTTTGGGCTATGAATTAATGAAGACGATGGTGTCAGCCTCGTATATACACTCATGCCCTCCCCCTCGCAGTAAACAATACATAAACTGAAAACCTCCGGTAATTTTGCCTTAAATTCACTCACAAATATTACATTTCGACCATGTGTTTCGAAATAAAATATTCAGAACATTCATCTCATATTATTTATCCATCTATTTGCCTTACGCATTTTTCCAATTCCACAATTCATGAAAATTATATATTCTATGCATTTATCTTCCAAAAAACGTAATTCTGTTAAAAAATTGAAAGGTCTTCTATCGATTATTATTTATTTTGTTAATGGAATATTATTAATGCCTGTTCGCTTTTTTTAAATTAAAATCCATGGAAGGGAAAAATCGGATTACATTCTGGGGCCAAATCATTGACTGGTATATTTGAAATAAAAAATAATTCCAATACAAATACGGTACAACGAAAACCTTTTTTTTTGCCAGTGGCTTTCCAATTATCAATTGCATATTTGCACTTTCTATTTAGTTTACGGGATTTTCCGATGGTGTTTACTAAAAACCATCGGCTAATCCCCGAGTGTTTTTTCCCCATTCACGTTTTTTCCCCCACCATCACGGTTGAATGGAAAAAATATTCGCAATATTTTAAAAGGAATTCATCGATGCTAGGATTCGATGATGAAAAATAAATAGCACGACTCAACGTAATTAAACATTCAAACAACTAATGGATTGTTAAGAATGAATAATTGCCGATAAGAGTAATTATTTATTTCTGTTAAAAATATCTTTTTGTATATTCTTTATATTCTTAGCATGTTCAATTTATTTGAATAATACTTAATGATTTATTTGATTAATATCTCGAATGACAGA